ATGTATGTTGTAACTAGTATTTACCAGTTACAGTCACAAGAGTATATAATAGATATGTATGTTGTAACTAGTATTTACCAGTTACAAGAGTATATAATAGATATGTATGTTGTAACTAGTATTTACCAGTTACATGAGTATATAATAGATATGTATGTTGTAACTAGTATTTACCAGTATATAATAGATATGTATATAGTATAGTTACATTTGAGTATATATGATATGTATGTAACTAGTATTTACCAGAGTTACAAGAGTATATAATAGATATGTATGTTGTAACTAGTATTTACCAGTTACAAGAGTATAGTATATAATAGATATGTATGTTGTAACTAGTATTTACCAGTTACAGAGTATATAATAGATATGTATGTTGTAACTAGTATTTACCAGTTACAGAGTATATAATAGATATGTATGTTGTAACTAGTATTTACCAGTTACAAGAGTATATAATAGATATGTATGTTGTAACTAGTACATACATGATATGTATGTTGAGTATATAATAGATATGTATGTTGTAACTAGTATTTACCAGTTACAAGAGTATATAATAGATATGTATGTTGTAACTAGTATTTACCAGAGTTACAAGAGTATATAATAGATATGTATGTTGTAACTAGTATTTAACTAGTATTTACCAGTATATAATAGATATGTATGTTGTAACTAGTATTTACCAGTTACATTAGTATATAATAGATATGTATGTTGTACCTAGTATTTGCCAGAGTTACAAGAGTATATAATAGATATGTATGTTGTAACTAGTATTTACCAGTACAGTATATAATAGATATGTATGTTGTAACTAGTATTTGATATCAAGAGTATATAATAGATATGTATGTTGTAACTAGTATTTAAAAGTTACAAGAGTATATAAAAATGTCTGTTTTGTTATGTCATCACAATTGATCTAATCTAATGTCACCACATAGTGGAGGAAGGACAGCATATTTGTTTTGCAATATCCTGGCACCAACTTGCCGTTGTATAACTATTCCTTGCTGACTCACATTTATAAGCCAAGTCATTATACATACATTCTGGCTCTGTGAATGTAACAGAATTTGTTTCTGACCTTATGCTCATACTTACTAGATATCACATGACCAACGATCCAAACAGGGACCTTAGGGTCAGACTTACTAGATATCACATGACCAAGGATCCAAACAGGGACCTTAGGCTTAAGACTTACTAAATATCACATGATCAATGATCCATGAAGGGACCTTAGGCTTAAGACTTACTAGATATCACATGACCAACGATCCAAACAGGGACCTTAGGCTTAAGACTTACTAGATATCACATGATCAATGATCCATGAAGGGACCTTAGGCTTAAGACTTACTAGATATCACATGACCAAGGATCCAAACAGGGACCTTAGGCTTAAGACTTACTAGATATCACATGACCAACGATCCAAACAGGGACCTTAGGGTCAGACTTACTAGAAATCACATGATCAATGATCCATGCAGTTGACTTTTGGCTCAGGCTTTCGAGATATCACATGATACATGTTGGGACCTTAGGATCAGACTTACTATTGGTACAAAAACACCAGTACAAAATCTGTACTCAAAACAAGCAGCAACACGTGTTTTAATCTGCAGTAATAAAAGCCTAAAGCAATCTGAATAAGTATGTAGTAGTTGTGACAGAAGTTGGCTTCAACAGTTGCATTTATATGAGGTATGTGGTGAAAATAACTTTATTTTTAGCTTTATGCAATAGAGTGATTTTAGGAAGTTGACATGCGTTAAATGTACAAACCAAATTCAGTAATTTGGCAGAGGGAGAACTGTCCGTTCAAAGATAAGTGATGTATCTGACAGGCTTACACAATATCAATGACATTTTTCTTCAGATTCATCTTAAAATACATTTCCTTGTTACCATGACAGAGGACATTGTTTTAAACTGATAAATCTGAACATGCATAACCAGCAACAATTCACAAACTAACTTAAGCATCAGATTACCCCTTACCCCCCTGCAGACATCCCATTTATTGATCTCAAACCTTGACACAGGTATAAAAATATATATTTGGCATCTTGCTTCGACACCACGTCACACAAGACTGATTAGTGTTTTTTATATGTACACATATTTCACACCTAAGTAAAATAAGGGAGTGATTTATTTAATGAACTAAGACACTAAATCATAACTTGTGTATATTGCATGCATATGAAGAATATTTTCCAGAAAATTATAACAACAGAATTATTTTACCAAAGTCTGTGATATAATTAACATCTTATACATAAGTACTGTAAATAATACCAAATGTTTTAATTATCAACCTAAAATAAGGAATCACAATGACGTCATTATGACACATGTAATACGCCATACATCTCATTAACCAAAAACAGCAGACACCAAAATTGAAGTCATTCCTAAATATTTTGCATTGATACATTTCTGTATTTTTGGACCATAGTGGTACCATGGTTATATCCTTCGAAAATAGAAATTCTGTCACAAAATACGGCCTATCTCTCATTAGTGTTCTAAAAATGTATACAATGCTGCCAGGCTTCAATACCCTTGAGTCCTGTTTGGTTTCAATTAAACAAGATATGTATACATAACATGTACACAAGTATATATGTCTCTGAGTTAATTTGCTAGTAAATTATACTTTGTGTGCACTTGTGATTATTTCATAATAATAATTATTGTAGATACATCCATGTTTCCCTGGTATTGTTTTTCCTGTGTGCATAAGGAAAAAGGTGTAAAATTGCAATAATTTGTTTCCCATCCCTTGTTCTAAGGTTGAAAATAAATATGTGGAAATTGATAACTGTCTACAAATTCTGGCAAATTTCATAAAGCTGTCTACCATCTATTAAGTCATTGTCAAAATTATCTAATTCCTTAAAACTATAAAACATTAATTTACAATCTGACGTTGTAAAAGCAAAGCTGTTCCCAATCTTGTCTATTCCTTCTATGGTGGCTGCTACTATTCATTAAACTTGTGAAGTCACAGCCAATTAGAATCCCATTCAGCAGAAGTCTTCCTAATGCTGATTAGTAGTAGGACAGCTGAAAATCTTACACTTTACACATGAATATCTTGTTACTGGGTTGATTGATTTTCATGCAGATTTTAACATTTTTTCATTTTGGATCATAAATTATAATACTACATTAATTTCTATTTTCACTCAGGGTACACGTTAAGCTCAGACAAACTAGTTATCACATGACCAAATGGTCTTTGCAGGGTAATAGAAATGTTCACCTCTGTGTGATGTAGACAGAGATGTTTCGACCCCATCAGGGCAAGTTCTTTAAGCTTCAGATATGAGGCTTTGCAGAATTTAATTGTAGAAAATTTTATCTTGAGGTTTGAGATGTCCAATGTATATGTCTACCTCACACAATGACTGATTATTTTTCCACAAAACTTTCCTATCATCAAATATGATGAAATGTAAAGAAAGATTAAATGTGTTGAAAATTGATTACTTAACACAATATTGATTTATTAGTTATACTATTAAAGAGACATTCCCGATAAGTAACCAATTTCTGCATATTCTGTACTGTTTAAAAGACCCTTCCTTATGACTTTCCATAGTATTGTCATCATCATTAGTCAGTTCACACAAACAAAATTGAAAGAAATTTAAAGTCAGATCATCTGAATGCAGCATTTTTATTAAATGATGATTTTAAAATGATACTAGAAACATGATGTCGGATCCAGCGACATAGTTAGTAAATATGGATAATTTCTACAGTGTGACTATCTCTAACATATTACCTACACATACAGTAAATACAATGCACTGTTTGAAAAATAGCTTGAATCTTTTAAGTCACCATATTTGTTTGCAGTTCTTTGCACAGGTGTAATTTTTTTGTAATGGAATCAGACCCATTTTAACATTTTGAACACTGTGCAATAGGATTGCACATTCTATGCGGTTTGGTAAAAATGGTTGGTTCTGATTACTATTGCAGATTGAAAATAAAGCAGAAAACTTGAGGATTGTAGAGTATACGTAAACCTTTGTGTCACAGGGCCCTGTGATGATGGTCAGTATTAGTGGACCTACAACCTAACTACAATATTAAAGCGTCTTGCAAAAAAAGATTTTAAATTTCACCTCACCGGACAGAAATTCAACACTTCCGATGAGAGTAACATATCTTTATCTTACCGTGGCAAGACAGTCTGAATGTATGACCGTCCGAGCATACAGGAAGTGACATTTCAGTTATGTATAATTGTTTATGACGTCATTTTTATGACGTGCCGGAGTCAGTTGTAATCATTAATGTCATTAACAATTGTGATCAGGACTTCAAATACAAATGACTATACCGATGGTTGTGATGTCACGTGTATATTTATTTTCTTATCTATTTTTAAGGGGAAATGGGGTAGAAAAAGTATCAATGCATATCTTGAGGGTAGGACAGAGAAATATCTCCCTTCGGAGGAAATTCCTGACAGTCTAACCATTGGTAAAGCTTCGAGTAAGAAAATCCAGAGAGATTTCCCTGTCTTACCTTCCAGCTAGGTAAAGGTCCTATAATTAATCCACTAATGTTACACCTTACACTATATATGCACTATTAAATTGGGCCACTGGTTTTGATGTTACTGATAATAATTTAATAAAATGAGAGAGAAAAAAACACACTCTTTTCTACATTATCATCAGTGCATGATGTACAAGCCATGGTGTCACCGGCCCGTGTCATTATAAGTACGAGAAATTTTATATTCACTTACGTGTACATGACCATTCCTCAACCCAAACAAATAGTATTGGTGTACTGACATGAACACGAAAAAAATGACAGGTTGATAATCTAGACCTTTCATAATAACACACACGTACGCACGAAGCATTTACGGTGTTCACTCTGAACGCGAATCTAGGTCTATGCTCTTGCATGCTGCTTTCATGACAACTTAAACTAAAAGACTCAATAGCGCATACCTGTGTAAATTTGATCTCTGGTTCACGAATTGGTTCTGGTAGTTCTCCCATTTTCTTCTGTCCAAACCTTTATCTCGCCGGTTGACAAACAGCTCGCTCTTCTCGGTCGCAACTCGTATGCTAACCTGACCAAGTCACGTGACAGATCGGCTACAATCACAGCATCGAACACATACTGTATAAGTTGTATGGGTGATGAGCATCGTACAGACGAGGATTGATCAAAGGCTGGTTATTGTTATTTTGTTCTTTAGAAAGAAATTAGAGTCGAAGCAAAATTATACCAACTACAATGTACTAAACTAAAGATTAATCTTTGTCAATTTTAGATACTGTTCATAATTGAATGATATAAACAGTTTCAAAAGACCATTTAGACATATCTGTCAAAACCTGCCATACAGAGAACACCTACTGAATACAAATAGATATCATTTACTAACCATGTTATCCCTACATATGAGGGACAAGGATATATATGGAATAACTCGGATGAGTTTCCCCTGTTGTCCGATGACCTACTTACTGTATGTAGTGAATATATGTATCAGGGACGTATAATAGTCCCTGTATATATATATAAAAACGTCGACAGAACATCAATAATTTGGAGAGAGTGCTTGTTATAAGAGACAACCATCTTCCTCCCTTTACAGTGTATTTACATTTAGATAGAAAATATATCCGTGGTTGTCATTCTGTCTGTAATAGCAGCCTTTGATTCCATGATGATCGTCTAATTCTATAATGTTCTGACTCAAACAACATCAAGAAGCCCTTGTCTTTCTCTACTAGTTCTGATCCCATTCAACTGGATTTTGTTCTGCAGTCCATTCATAATGTATGTTGTACATCTTTGCTTCAGAATAACTGTTATACATTGATTGACTCAATAACTGTGTTTAAAGAATCACAACAGATGAGTCAAGGGAGATACAAGATTGTTAAAGTGAGCAGGGAGCTGGGTGAGATGGTTATATAGCGTCTATCTACAGCTGGAACATTCCTGGTCATAATCTTCAGCATCAGGAACTGTGATTGTATTAATTCTGTGTGCACATGGGAAAGGGAACCTGTAAATCTATGTATAAAAAGATTCACAGCATCACTCCGTAAAACAATGTTGAAACGTTAAGGCCTAACGTTCGGGGTCTTGATGGTCATCTGAGAACCAGAAAACCAAATTCAATGTTCAGACTGTAAAAGTTACAATCAGTGTATGGTGATACATTATGAAGACATTGTGAACATAATCTATAAACATTATAGAGTTTGTAATAGTTAAACATAACAATATACTGATGGTTCCCTGACCTTATGATGTATACTTTATAGTTGTAAACATCCCTCGTAAGCTTTAAATGTTGAAAGTGGACGAGACAATATGCTTTATGTGATATTCATGGTGTCATAGTAAGAATGAATCACATTTCATCTGACCTGTCTCTCTACGTGGGTTTTCCCTGGGTATTCCAGTTTCCAACAATTACAAGTTGCAATAACTTGTTTCACAATTGTTGCAGAACAAATTAAGTTTATATGAGGCTTACAAAATAAACAAATTGAACAGAAAAAAAAGAATAAATATTTTTCCCCTCATAGGTAAAATAGTACCTTCATAGGGATCAAACAATATAGAGGGATTGAGAATACATTCTGGGGTTGCATTGCCCTTGCTTGACCACAACTCTTTTGAGGTCAATTTAAGAAGCATTGACCTATTAATGATATACATGTATATCAGATTGAGTTCCGATTATTTGGAGGTATATCAGGACAAATGACAGGTTAAGGAAAATGATTGGCAGTAGTACAGGATATTTGCACATGAAGTTTGTAAAGTTATTGCTTATATCACCAATGACCCATACTGACTAAAACATGTCATGAATATAGTTTGACCTCTAATTAAAAGGTCATTAAAATTAGCAGGCAATAACAGCTTGTTTACCTGTAGGTAATTACTTACTTGTATAGGATTAAGATATTATTTCTAAATTTTGCAATAATATACACTTAATAGATATGGGAGGGAATGGGAGTTGGGAATGATAGAAGACAGACCCAAGAGAATATCAATGAATCTTGTTGTTTGGCAGCTCATCAGGGGATTGGTGTATATATATATATAGGACAACCAGAAAAATATCATCTTTTGATTCTAGTCGAAAGTTTATGGCATAAAGTATTATACATACATTATCTAATAGCAATGATGAAAGAAGGCATAAACTGAAGTATTGTAGATATAGTAAATAGGGGACAATTATCAGATATATTGGGGAGGTGGGGGGGGGGGGGGATTCATTTATGATGGTCATCATAATAGTATCGTGGGGACAATTATCAGATATATTGGGGGTGGGGTGGGGGGTCGGGGGATACATTTATGGTGAACATCAGAAAAGTATCGTGGGGACAGTTATCAGATATATTCAGGTTATACATTTATGATGGCTATCAGAATTTCACAGCACACTCCTCCATATGTTTAAATAAAAACATAGATAACAAAACTTTTCATACAAGACATTTGTATACCATACATCTGTATAGAGACACTCATGTCAAACAATTCATACCAGACATCTGGTATGGCATCTGGTTGGTTCTGTTGTTGTATACCTTGTTCTCATTTGAGAACATGACACTTCTTACTTGGGTCGGCCAAGATTTAGATGGCGAATTCATATTTTTATTGAATTTGAGTTAGGATGATGATCTTGTTGACCTATTGGTATTTTCTTGTTGTTGTCCAACAAAAAGAACCAGTCTGATAGCCATCCATCATTTCCTAATTATGTACTGGAAGAGATATACATTTAGGGCACGGGAGATTGGTTTAACAGTAACATAAGTCCAAATCATTTACTTCAATAACTTTCAGTAGTTCCCTGTCATGATACCATGAAACTTGGCTTTCAGGGTCAAGGGAAAAGACATGAGAATTTTACCACATTTGTCCTACCCTTCTTCTACCAGTAATGATGTCGTCATGTTAAGTCAAGGCTTTAAAAGGTTCCTTGGGATCAGATTTCATAAACTCAGTGTTCCTGTACATAACACGAGGACAAGAATACATAACAACTCAGTGTGTTCTATTTACCAAGTATACTTTATTGTATATATATATATGTAATCAACATATACGTGTAAAAAATATTAACGGTGAAGAAAACCTGTAGTTAATGCAGTTAGTCTGACTTGATATCCAGAACCTGTAGTTAGTGTGCTTAGTCTGAAATTAGTTGACCCAGAATTCAGAACTGGAGTTTATCCATGCGGTATTCATAATATGTGAAGTCTGTGAGGTAAGTATGACTTTACCTGGTAATCAGAATCTGTAATTGGAGTTCAATAGGACTCAATTTACCTTGTACTCCAAGTCATAGGAGTACAGCAGCTTACAAACTTATCCCTAATATTACGACATTTGTAAATATCTTAATGTTGTGTAGTGAATTTGATACTGGTGTCTACTGAACAGTATTTATAACAATAATGTGTTTTTTTATCTGACTGTGAATTCTAAAAATAAACAGTGCAACATAAGCTTGTGCAATATGAAAAACTTTTGATTTTAAAACAAATTTATTGGAAGACAACTGTTTCTGGCAAGTTCCTTTAAGAATATCAAAATTATACAAAAAAATCCCCAATTATCAAAATCTTACACTTTTATTCTCAAGCACACTAACTCTGATATTTATGATTGTAAAACTTAATGGTGAATTTTCTTTGTACAACACAAATGTGTTTCTTAATAATAGGACTCTTTCACATGTGACTTCATTAACAAGACAAAAACTGAGTAGACTGTGTTTTGCACAAATACCCTAGGGATGGTGGACGGATTTGACAATGATATACACAAAATCTAATACTTATCATTCAACATGACAAAAGTCATCCATCTGACAACAAGAGATATGTTTCATGAAAACAGAGACAGATGAACACATGCAATATTGCAAATTTTCAGTTCTGTTTGCTTCTTGTGTCTAATTAAGCAGTAAAAATATCCTACACTGGCTAGTTAATCTACTTCTATCATCCATTGGATTATCAGCTGATGTTACTTCTGAAAGTCTACGGTAACAATTCTACAAGTTTTAATATTGAAAAAATTGCTTGAAAAAAACATGCCTCTTTTGAAACATTAAAAAATCTCGATACCACTTCCAGAAAAGAAGGATAATATTGCCCCAAACATTTTACAAGAGAAAGTGAAAGAAACAACTATCAACATGTTTATACATAATTAAGTAAATGAAACTTTGTGTTTTACTTTTGATGAAAATGAATGACACAAACTGAGCTACAAAAATATTGAGTGCTGATGGTAGCTTTCAGTTACATTTAATCCAATACAGATACTGCCTGAACTCTGAAACCTTCCTATCAGTCCCACCAATCAACCATCAGTATTTCAGATTCAAATACAGAGTAGGCTTAAGCAAGTAGTCTCTTTCCAAAATACATTACAGTATATTATACCAAAACAAGAAAGAAACAAGCATGTTGAGTGGAATAGAAAAGATCATTATGAAAAAATTGAATACAGACATCAGTTATTTTATTGAACTTTGAATAAAATGGACTGCAGCTGTGATTTTTAGGCCATTTTAGGACACTACAGTAAGCTTTCAGGTGCATACTTCTGAAAAAATGAACAAAGCATGTGATTTTATAATAATAATCAATCTTCTCATTTAGAAATATAAATTATTATAAATAAACAATGATATTAATCATATGTGTATAACTAGTAACAGAAACTGATGTCCTGTTAATTTATCACAATTTTATCACAATATGGACGGAAATACACTTAATAACAAGAAAATTTTAAAATTAAAATTACTTTCCTTCTCGAAGGTGTCTTCTCACACATCACAACTCTGTCCTTTTTAAAAGCATATATATTGTGATAGAAATTTGTAATATTTTAATGAAGTAAAATCTGTTATATTTCATCTCATTTTTTATATTATCATTTCCAGTAAAAATTGTAAGTAATTAGATAAAATATTACTTAAAATCACAGAAAAGAAAATGATCTGGTAATGTGAGTTATGACAGAACAATAAATAATGCATAGTAGTTTATGTATACTAAATTTAAAATTGTGGAAAAGACTTAGAGTGGTGCCAAGATGGACACTATGGAATGCTTTATATGAGCAGGACAGCAGGACACAACTAAAATGGAATGTAAACTATGACTGAAAGATGTATAATTATATAAACTACACATGCTGAATGTGTATATCTCTTAAATATATAATGTGAACATTAATACTAAAATGTATATCATAAAACTTTTCTAAATATAGAACTCTTCATGATCTCTGACTGTGCTGTACTCGTAAATTAAATTGAGTCAGAAGTATACAAATGATAAAGATATAAAACGATGACATCACAGTGATTAGTATATCCGTGTTAACAGAGGAACACATAAAAAAAAGGAAGACATAAGTCTATATATATATATTGATGTTCAAGGATTTAAGTATCCAATTAATGTTAAATGCAAACTGGCCTTTCTTCCGAACACCAAATTTAGGTAGGACATGTGATTTAAATCGCTAATAAAAAACAGTTAATTATCTGCATGATCTCATTCTGACAGCTGATACAGGAAGATAGACTGTGAAGCAGATTATATCACAATAGTATGTAATACAGATCAGGCAAGTTTTAAAATCAAGGAGGTATACGTTAGATTATGGGATGATTGAGTGTCTGAGTGAAATAAATCAAGTTTCCACACATACAGAAAAATCTCCTTTTTACATAAAAAACCTATTCATTTGTACCAAATTCATGACATACATTACTTGTTGTTTTTAAAGCATCTGCATTGCATATGATAGGGTGATGGAACATCGAATACACATGTCCTCTTGTAATCACATGTAACTTTGATGTGTACAAATAATTTGACTCAATGATCCTGGAACACCACTGAAGGACCTGTATCAAATTTATCTTTCTTGTATTTGCCATTTGTAATTTGCATAAAAATGAATCGCACACACGTGTATTTCAGTATCTATTTCCTTGGAGACATTGCCCCAGCTGTGACCTTGGTAGGAGAGGATCCTGTATAAGGAGGAATCACTATTGGGCCAGTGCTGTTGAAGGACATGTCACTGGCAAGGGAATTGTCCGGGGAGCCCCTGTAGTCTGTCCTTGGGGAGTACAGACTTTTCTGTGGGTCGTCGTAGTAACCGCTGGCTGCTAACATGGCCTGGGCTTGGGTTTGTGACTTAGCAATGATCTCGTTGATAGCTTCCATCCGTGATTTGTATTTCCTGTGGTGACACAATTTTCTGTTATGAAACATTGGCATCAAACCAAATATCAACATTTATATGAATTCATTAAAAGATTCTTGAAGAAACTTTTAAAATGATACATGTACCTAATAACAATTCATACTCATTTCAAGTGATATTGATCTTGAAGCATATGTATGCTTTCATATAAAACAGCAACCTCCAGTAATATTACCGTGTATGACCATAGGAGATTTAAAGTATTGTGTGTGAGGTGTTTGTAGGTGGATGGAGATGAGAAATGAGTGGGTTTATGTAGTGGAGCAATTTCTACAGGGACAAGAAGTTTGGGATGTGTATATTAGTAAGGATTGGGAGTATGTGGGGGTGGGGTGATGGTTTGGTATATAGAGGTTTGGGAGTATGTAGGGGTAGGGTATATTAGTGTTGGGAGTATGTGTGGGTGGGGTATATTAGTGTTGGGAGTATGTGTGGGTGGGGTATATTAGTGTTGGGAGTATGTGGGGGTGGGGTATATTAGTGTTGGGAGTATGTGGGGGTGGGGTGATGGTTTGGTATATAGAGGTTTGGGAGTATGTAGGGGTGGGGTGATGGTTTGGTATATAGAGGTTTGGGAGTATGTGTGGGTGGGGTATATTAGTGTTGGGAGTATGTGGGGGTGGGGTATATTAGTGTTGGGAGTATGTGGAAGTGGGGTGATGGTTTGGTATATGGGAGTATGTAGGGGTGGGGTATATTAGTGTTGGGAGTATGTGTGGGTGGGGTATATTAGTGTTGGGAGTATGTGTGGGTGGGGTATATTAGTGTTGGGAGTATGTGGGGGTGGGGTATATTAGTGTTGGGAGTATGTGGAAGTGGGGTGATGGTTTGGTATATAGAGGTTTGGGAGTATGTAGGGGTGGGGTATATTAGTGTTGGGAGTATGTGTGGGTGGGGTATATTAGTGTTGGGAGTATGTGTGGGTGGGGTATATTAGTGTTGGGAGTATGTGGGGGTGGGGTATATTAGTGTTGGGAGTATGTGGAAGTGGGGTGATGGTTTGGTATATAGAGGTTTGGGAGTATGAAGGGGTGGGGTATATTAGTGTTGGGAGTATGTGTGGGTGGGGTATATTAGTGTTGGGAGTATGTGTGGGTGGGGTATATGTGTGGGTGGGGTATATTAGTGTTGGGAGTATGTGTGGGTGGGGTATATTAGTGTTGGGAGTATGTGTGGGTGGGGTATATTAGTGTTGGGAGTATGTGTGGGTGGGGTATATGAGTGTTGGGAGTATGTGGGGGTGGGTTGATGGTTTGGTATATAGAGGTTTGGGAGTATGTGGGTGGGGTATATTAGTGTTGGGAGTATGTGTGGGTGTGTGAGAGTATGTGTGGGTGGGGTATATTAGTGTTGGGAGTATGTGTGGGTGGGGTATATTAGTGTTGGGAGTATGTGTGGGTGGGGTATATGAGTGTTGGGAGTATGGGGGTGGGTTGATGGTTTGGTATATAGAGGTTGAGGAGTATGTGGGAGTATGTGTGGGTGGGGTATATTAGTGTTGAGAGTATGTGTGGGTGGGGTATATTAGTGTTGGGAGTATGTGTGGGTGGGGTATATGAGGTTATATTGATGGTTTGGTATCTTGAGGTTTGGGAGTATGTAGGGGTGGGGTATATTAGTGTTGGGAGTATGTAGGGGTGGGGTATATTAGTGTTGGGAGTATGTGTGGGTGGGGTATATTAGTGTTGGGAGTATGTGTGGGTGGGGTATATTAGTGTTGGGAGTATGTGTGGGTGGGGTATATGAGTGTTGGGAGTATGTGGGGGTGGGTTGATGGTTGGGTATATGGAGGTTTGGGAGTATGTAGGGGTGGGGTATATTAGTGTTGGGAGTATGTGTGGGTGGGGTATATTATGTGTGTTGGGTATATGTGTGGGTGGGGTATATTGTGTGTAGGGGTGGGGTATGTAGTGTTGGGAGTATGTGTGGGTGGGGTATATTAGTGTTGGGAGTATGTGTGGGTGGGGTATATTAGTGTTGGGAGTATGTGGGGGTGGGTTGATGGTTGGGTATATAGAGGTTTGGGAGTATGTAGGGGTGGGGTATATTAGTGTTGGGAGTATGTGTGGTTGGGGTATAATAGTGTTGGGAGTATGTGTGGGTGGGGTATATTAGTGTTGGGAGTATGTGTGGGTGGGGTATATTAGTGTTGGGAGTATGTGGGGGTGGGATGATGGTTGGGTATATGGAGGTTTGGGAGTATGTAGGGGTGGGGTATATTAGTGTTGGGAGTATGTGTGGGTGGGTTATATTAGTGTTGGGAGTATGTGGGGGTGGGATGATGGTTGGGTATATGGAGGTTTGGGAGTATGTAGGGGTGGGGTATATTAGTGTTGGGAGTATGTGTGGGTGGGGTATATTAGTGTTGGGAGTATGTGTGGGTGGGGTATATTAGTGTTGGGAGTATGTGTGGGTGGGGTATATTAGTGTTGGGAGTATGTGTGGGTGGGGTATATTAGTGTTGGGAGTATGTGTGGGTGGGGTATATTAGTGTTGGGAGTATGTGTGGGTGGGGTATATTAGTGTTGGGAGTATGTGGGGGTGGGATGATGGTTGGGTATATGGAGGTTTGGGAGTATGTAGGGGTGGGGTATATTAGTGTTGGGAGTATGTGTGGGTGGGGTGATGGTTTGGTATATAGAGGTTTGGGAGTATGTAGGGGTGGGGTATATTAGTGTTGGGAGTATGTGTGGGTGGGGTATATTAGTGTTGGGAGTATGTGTGGGTGGGGTATATTAGTGTTGGGAGTATGTGGGGGTGGGATGATGGTTGGGTATATGGAGGTTTGGGAGTATGTAGGGGTGGGGTATATTAGTGTTGGGAGTATGTGTGGGTGGGGTATATTAGTGTTGGGAGTATGTGTGGGTGGGGTATATTAGTGTTGGGAGTATGTGTGGGTGGGGTATATGAGTGTTGGGAGTATGTGGGGGTGGGTTGATGGTTTGGTATATAGAGGTTTGGGAGTATGTAGGGGTGGGGTATATTAGTGTTGGGAGTATGTGTGGGTGGGGTATATTAGTGTTGGGAGTATGTGTGGGTGGGGTATATTAGTGTTGGGAGTATGTGTGGGTGGGGTATATTAGTGTTGGGAGTATGTAGGGGTGGGGTATATTAGTGTTGGGAGTATGTGTGGGTGGGATATATTAGTGTTGGGAGTATGTGTGGGTGGGGTATATGAGTGTTGGGAGTATGTGTGGGTGGGGTATATGAGTGTTGGGAGTATGTGGGGGTGGGTTGATAGTTGGGTATATGGAGGGGTGGGAGTATGTAGGGGTGGGGTATATTAGTGTTGGGATTATGTGGGGGTGGAGTAAGGGTTGGGTATATGGATGTTTGGGAGTATGTGTGGGTGAGGTATATTAGTGTAGGGAGTATGTGGGGATGGAGTGGGGTCTAGCTAAATGAGTGTTATTAAAATGGGGAGGGGGGAGTTAGTGTATATGAGGGTATATAGTATGTAGGGGGTTCAACATATTAGTGTTGGGAGAATATGGGGATGGGGTAGGGTATATGAGTGATGGGAGTATGTGGAGTGGGGACAGGGTGTTTGAGGTTTGGAGTATGTTGGGGTAGAATTTGTAAGGTAGTAAGGAAATATGAGGGCAGATGAAGACCTACTTGTCAGAGGTAACATTGTCTCTGCGCCGCATGGCATGATACTGGTGTCGCAATCTCTGGTTGTCCTCCTCAAGTGCCTGAAGTGATGATTTTGTTATCTGGTGAACTGCTTTCTCTGTACTCAACTCAGACTCGAGATCTATGACTCGTTTCTTGTACTTGCTCAGTTGCTTCACATCCCGGTCTTTAGAGTCATGTCCACCAGATTTCTGGGACTCCATGTGTTCGTGGAGCTGGCGGTTCATGTCTTGAATCAAACGGTTCAGGTCCATCCTGGTACAAGAATATTACAGAAATGACACAAAAACAGAGATACTATTTGGAAGATATATGACAGAACAGTCATATTTAGTAGTTATCTCTTTAAACAACAAAGATTAAATCGTTTTTAAGATCTTTTTAAATTAGAATATTAATATATATATATTTTTGGTTTGAAACCTACCACATAGATTTCTCATTGTCTCCTGCTTCTTCTGCCTTCTTGGACAAGTAAATTTTCATTCTCTTCAGTTCCTCTTCTTGAGCAACAAATCTATAGAAGCATCACAACAGTATTGGGGTAAGAGAACGTAGTATAACACAACTTTACATAATTATAAGGAAGGTAGGTTTCAAAAAAAGTTTTCCTTCTTGATTCTAAGACAATTTTCAGAATAAAACTTTGGACAAACGAATGATTAAAGAGACATGTAATATAACTAAAACTTTACTATAGTAATCAGCAGCTTATGTACAGGAAGATTATATATTTCAAAATATTTCTGTGAGTTGGTAATGCTGATAGAATAGAGGTTCTTATATTACAACCAGTAGAAGACTTCAGTTTGACAATTCAATGACTATACAGTCATAGTGGCTGTAACATATGTAATATATAAGATTTTCTACCTTAATGTATATAGGATTATAGTACAGTAGAAAAAGTTGGCTGGTTCCTTACCATCTCATTCTATATATGTATCAAAGCCAGTACACTTAAAACTGGTCATTTGTCTGATGGAAGTGACTGTGTAGTCATCAAAACATCACACTGAAATCTTCTACTGACTATGTAATTAGAACTTCTATTACAGGAAGATAACCTGATGCACAGCCTTAATACAAGTGTGATATGCATACTTAACAGCTGTAGTGTAAAGTTGTATTACACTATTAAGAAAGTACAAACCAGAATCACGATATTGAAAGCTTTACACAATCTGAACAGTTGTAAATGCAAGCTTACAATCTAATCTTCATCTTCATTTAGAAATATAGGCACTAGAAAATCTCTGTAAGACACAAATGGCCTCTGTTTGTATTACAGACACAAATGGCCTCTGTTTGTATCTATGATGTTGACTTTTGAACCCCAAAACACAAACTAATCTCGGGTTTTCTCATAGAGGGCTTTATCATAAAAGTTTTAGAATTTCCTTTATAGAAAAGTCTTTTCAATGAGGAACACTCTGAAAATGCTTGATGATTATCTATAAATAGTAACATTGAACTTAGAAAGCCTAAAGCAGGAATTGATCCTACATAGTTTAGTAGTAATGACATCTGTATAAAGTTTGAACAAAATCGTTAAGGAATAAAGTTGCTAAATAGTAATTATATTGTTTTGGGATGGGACGAGACACCTATAATTTCGAGTGTTATTGAAACACTTACAGCTAGAAACCAGTCTACGCAACTAAAGTAAGTGTTAACAATAATACATCGGACATTTTGATATAAAATTAAGACAACATGAGAATATAAAATTCAAACAACACTGTTTCATTGTCTAGTGGAGCCTAAGCTTTGACAGCCTGCTCCCTGATCTTTGGGAGCAGGCATTTTGTGTCACACTATGAGAAGACATGAAATAAATCATTTTCTGCATTGATCACAATTTATACTACATATTGCTGCATTCTGTGGTTCAACTGGTCAGCTAGAAGTCCTGAGTTACATCTCTAGCAACGGAAATCTAATTTTCTTGGACAAATAAGGATGCGTGTATGTACCAGCAAGACTTACTTGGAAGAGAGTTTTGATTGAAGCTCCTCCTCAGCTTTACGAGCGTCCTCAGCACGACGAAGTTGGAGAGTGTGTTCCCTGAGCTGATCTTCTTGACCTAAAATTGTCTCCTGAAGCTGTAAGGTACAGAGAAAGCAGTAATGAAGAACGTGTGAATCACAAGTTATTGATTAATATATTCCTACATAAGCATTGTTACTCTACTTCATACTCTCACAGAATACCGTGTGACAGTTATTGTATTACACAATAAGCATTGTTACTCTGTTTCATACTCTCACAGAATACAGTGTGACAGTTATTGTATTACACAATAAGCATTGTTACTCTGCTTCATACTCTCACAGAATACCGTGTGACAGTTATTGTATTACACAATAAGCATTGTTACTCTGCTTCATACTCTCACAGAATACCGTGTGACAGTTATTGTATTACACAATAAGCATTGTTACTCTGCTTCATACTCTCACAGAATACCGTGTGACAGTTATTGTATTACACAATAAGTACCATTGATACCCTAAGTAATCTCATCATTTTGTAAACTTAGTTTAAAAACTCCTTATTTGAACAGACTGATCCAAAATATAGAAATTGATAAAATACAATAGAATTCAAATTAACAATCATCCTTATGGGTTGTATTCTTTGTCATTCTTGATGATTGCCCTTTTTGTTACCCTTAAGAACATTATTTCTATGACTCTTGAGATATAGAGACTTCAGTAATAACAGTATTGGTGATCATTGCCATCACCTAGGCATCCGAATTTGATTCCCGAAGCAGATGTGAAAAGGAAAGTAGGTTACCTGACTGACCATACAGGTTTTCTCCAGCTCACCTGAAGTTTACTTCCACAGTGAGACCACATTCATGCTAATATTCAGGTCAATAATTGATTCATATAAGCTTATAACTTATTTCACAATTGAAAAATGAATTAAGTTTTTATATTATATAGTACATTTATAGAGTATGGCCAGTATTTTGATATTTTTTTTTGAGTGACAGGACGTCTATTTTTTCATTACTTAAAACATTGGTTATTATTCCATTTATTTTGTATTTTGTTTCGTATTGTGTCAGACCATTCGCAGGAGAGTTTCATGAACGTTTACTTCAGAGAATACCTTGTCCAGTGTTACATACATTGTCATCTATTTTAATAAAAATGAAAATTACCCGCAGATTTTCCTTGTTTTTCATGGCTAGCTGGTCCCTGGCTCTCTCCACATCGGCAGACAATGACTGATTCTGCTGGATAACTCGGACACGATCCTCCTCTATAATCTCACTAACAAATCAAAATAGAATTCACCATTGTCACAGTATTTCAAAATTAAGAATGTATCAACCATAAGTATCCTATAATAAATCTTCACCCAATACAATTGAGGAACTAACTAGCTTGATCAAGTGTTCAGTATGTAAATGAAGAGTTTCATCAGATAAGTCTATTTCAGGGTAATTGTTGTTAAGTTCTTGAAACACATCAATACTTCTAACTACAAATCCATTACAACCTGCAATCAAGAACTTATTTCAAAAGTCAAATATAATGACAATATCAAAACATTATAAATGATATTGTGGATTCATTTCAATTTGTGTTTAATTGTCAGGATTAGAAACCAAATTTCTTAAATGTTTATCATCCCAATATCTGTACCCAAATAAAGGTATACAGAGGAGGTCAGACCACACACCATTACAATATGACAAAGTAAAATACCTAAATAAAGGAATACAGAGTAAGCCAGACCACACACCATTACAATATGTCAAGGTAAAATACCCAATTTGTATACAGAGGAGGTCAGACCACACACCATTACAATATGACAAAGTAAAATACCCAATTTGTATACAGAGCAGACCAGACCACACACCATTACAATATGTCAAGGTAAAATACCCAATTTGTATACAGAGCAGACCAGACCACACACCATTACAATATGTCAAAGTACTTACATCTGTTGTTTTAGCTCTGTTGTAGTTTTCTTCAACTTGGCATTCAGCTGTTGTTTCTGGCTCTCCAGTATCTGTCGAAGTTTACTCATTTCATTCTTAAACACAAAATAAAAAACATGTCAACACAGAGGAAACCACATGTATTTAATAAGGAGATAATAGGTGTATATTAAGTATGCTTAAATAGGATAAGAATTAGAACTATGACCAGTAGTAGACATGACATTAGAAATAAGTTGTTAGAAATCAATACTAGATATACACATGACAACAGTATCACCAAGAATTCATCGTCAAAGAAATATATATTTTTTGGTGATAGTTTCAATTATTTGTCTGCAAAACCTCTAATATGAATTTAATTTAGATAGACAACTTTTCTGCATTCTGTCCATTGGAATTACTGTTTAAATCAGCAGCAGCAAGCCTATCAGCTGTTGGCTGAACATTCTAACCACAACAGTAAAGGTGGCTCTTGGAGCATACTCTAGTGTCACACCTGATGGGTAAGGTTTGTGCTTAACTTGTTTCTGCAGGTTACTATGAAATCTATTTGAATTGAAGGATGTTATGTTTCTGAAGAAATTATTTTGGAGATATAAAGTAATAATTATCTACAAACAAACCCACCCCCCCCCCCCCCCTCCTATAAACATGATTACAGGACAGAATAACATGTACCTGTTAGAAACATCTAGCACACTTAGGTAGTATTACCTCTTACAAGGTAAACTATTTTCACATCATCATCACAAAAAAACATCAGTACTGATTAAAATATGTTATCCACTTCAAGTTGTTACAGGTTGTTGAAAAGGAACAAGTAAACTTGAACACACTTAACCAGAATAGCAGACAAGTAGAATTTTTTATATATTGTGATAAAGATGAATATGATTTCTATGCATTGTAACAGAGGCATGTACCATTATATTTACTGGAATCAGCTATTTTCTGCATTTTTTTTTTGAAAAAGTCATATTACACAGTACATGGTCATCTGACCATGCAATAAACCAGCCACTGGTAATGAGATGTCAGTAATGGTGATGTCATAAAAATTGTTGAGGGAAAATAAAAAAGGTTTCATTTTGTGTTACTTGGGAAGATTCAAAACATTTCAAAGCAAGACAGCATAACAAAAGACAATTGGAAAGAGTTCCATTATGTCTGAAGTTGCAAAACAGCTGTTGTAGCAAGTGTAGATTTGTTTTAAGGCCATAATTATGTAATAAGACAGATATTTAATGCCTTTTCAAGGTATTAGCCAGAAATATTTGCCCTTCAGTGCTTGTAATTGACCATGTGCTATATGGTACTCAGCCTGCGGCCTCATTTAGTATAATACGACTGTCTGCATCTCTAATATTTTTGACAGTAGCATGGGAAAGTGTAAAATATCTGTATCATATAAGATTAACGGTAGGTCATGTAACTTCGAATGGGATGATACCTGATTGTCTCCCTTCAAAAAGTATTTGCAATGTACAGTTAACTTATAATCTGTCCTTGTTGTTTCATTAACTGTAACATCTCATGAGAGAAGTTTGGAAGCAAACAAACAGCAAATGCAAAATAGAAAGCTAGGCAAGGTAAAACAGCATCACAGGATCAATCTAGTAACACTAAAACAGCAGTTTTCAACACAGAAGGTCATCAACGACAACAGACGTGTCACACACACAGCTACTATGATAGTGTACCACTGAGACAAGCTGTTGTAGGACCTCTTCATCAATCTCATATTCCTACAGAAAGAAACACACTCAATCACTGACAAAAACAACCTTAATACACCATTTAATTGTAACTGTACTGATCTTCTTTTTGTTCTGAAGATTGGATTAAATATATACCTAATAAGTTAAACTGGAAACTTGATGATACACACTTACCACCTCACTGAATGATAGTGTCAAAATGTTGTGTGTAGACCAGATGTAACTCAATAGATTCCCACTTAATTGTGCTTTCCCTTGTTACATATTCACTATGATTTTCACCATTGTTCCATTAATCTTTTGAAAAAATCATATCTGTCAAGTACATGATGTTATTCATCTCAATATTTAGGGATTGAAAGTCATTTTATAACTTTAAGAGCAGTGTGTTCATGGTTTACTGGTTACATCCATATTAGATATACCACAGAGTTCAAAGGTCAGCTTACAGGTCAGAACGACCTAACTTTGGTGATTCATTGTCTTTCAGAGATGTACATGTACCCTCACTGAAATGTTAATTCAAAAGGTCAAATTAGGTCATTATGACTTCAATTTGGTATGTAACACAGTGCCTTGTGGTGATCAATCTGGTGTTCTAAGTCAACACATCAAACAGTGGCTGAGATATAATGTGGAAACTGTCTCACAGAAAAGTACACAGATTTGTTTATGTACACATGCATGGACTAAGGAAACACCTAAAACTCTATTGTTATTGAGACAGGGGTATAATAACATTTAGAGGTGTTTTATTAAAGCCCTGTAGCCCTAAAGCCCTAAAGATATCGCATATTAAGATACCTGTTGAAGGTCAATCTGTTCCTGTTTAGCCTGTGCTGTTGACTCTTGTGTATAAACTGTGGCCTCCAGTTCCTGTTGCTGGTCCAACAGACGTTTGGCCCGGTCCTTCTCCGTTTTCATCATCTGTTCTGTCTTGGTCAAATCTGTGTTCATCTGATTCAATTTTTCTTCAGATAAAAACTACAATACACAAAATTTCCAAATTTCAGTCAAAATTATGTGCTGGTAGGCCATTTTGAAAATTGTGATAGCAAGTAGGGCTAGGATTTCTTGTGAATTAAAATCTTACTTTCTCTATGTAAAAATCTTTTTACCTGTCTTATTTGTCAGGCTATTAGAAACAGCCATTACACTGATTTGCAATGTTGCCATTTTCAGCTTTTCAGCTGTCTCAAGTTGCAAAAAATTACGTGGAACTGCAGATTACAATTATTTTAAACTTGACTTAATTATCATTATCATGTTAAAATTTGTGTGTGTATATAAACAGTCTGCTTTTAGGGATACGTTCACAAGTAATTAAGGTCCAATATGAAGATATATACAAATGTCTTCTCAGAAAGGGAGATGAACATAGAATAAAGAGATGTTCCATCAACATACCAGTCCAGCATTCTGATGAAATACTCTAAAAGTAGCATCATTCAGTATAATGTACTGCATGCTCTGTCATCCTCAATATTATGGCAATTACGTAGTAAAAAATGATAAACTAAACAAGAATTTATTTTCTTTTTATATTCAAAATTTGTAAAATGTGGAATGGTAATTTTCCCTTGTATTAACCTACCTTATCCTTTCGTAGCTCATGAAGCTGGGATTGCAGTGACTCTGCCCTCTGCTCTGCTACCTTTCGACAAGTGATCTCCTCCTGAAGGCGTTCTTTAGTCTCCTCTAGTGATCTCTCCTGCATTCTATTGCTGACCTGAAGTTTGTCGCGACTGTCAATGGCTGACGCAAGGCTTGATTCAACAGATGCAACTCTAGACTGTGTCTGAAGTTGAAACAGTTAAAGAATAAATGAAAGGTTACAGATAAGAAACTCAGTCATGTTTGAATATAGACTAACTTTGGTACAGGTCATGGTGTTACTTAACATCAGCATTACCCCGGACAAATGTCTACTGACCTGACACAATGGGAACAGAAACAACTGGCCAAGTTATGATCTGCGCAACAAAATACCCTTGCCAGAAACCATGGAGAAGTTAGGAACTTATAAGACTAAGGTTTTTGGTTAAGTTAAGGTGTAATCAAGACCAATTTAATAAAATTGAAGTTCTGTCCACAGATTTTTTTTTAAATTCTCGGTGAAGATAGGCAAGGCTATCAAATATTGGTCTCACCATTTTTCTGAAAAAAAATTAACAAATTAAAAAATTTTTGAAGTTAAATGGCCATAACTCTGGAAAATATTAATTGGCCATAACCAAATCAGATTAACCTGCATACTACATACAGTTCTATTACTGTAACTGTAAAAGAGTAAATGTCATATTGAAAGGAAACAAAATTACGAGATACTGACAGATAAGGGGTTACACTTTACAATGCTTTAAATGGCCCTACTTTCAAATGACAAGGAACTAAAAAACTATTTTAAACAGTATACAGTTAAACAAAAACATTTCATTGAAAAAAAAACCAGTTAGAAAAACCATCAATCTTCATGAACATGTAATAAGACTCACTTGTAAATTACATTTTTGCACTGATAAAGAATTGGTCATTCATTTGATGTTTGTCTTGAAAAATAAGACTGAAGTTCAAAACCATGGAGTAAATGTGGATGGTGAAAGTGACAGTGTAATGAGTGAAGAAAGATTTTGCAGGCATGCAGGGAGGCAATTCTGAATCAGATTGAGGCTGGCCTTGAGAGGTACCACATAGCTATGTTACTATTTAACCAGAACCAGTATATGTCCAACACCATGATTTTACATCAACGTGCATAAGTTTCACTACCTGCATCAGATTGTCTTTAAGGTAAGACTTTTCCCCGTCATACTGGTTCCGCAGATCATTGTTCGTCTTTTCCAGGACAAGGATCTGATCTGTCAATTTTTCCTCCTGTATTCGCATTTTATCCCGCATTGTTGAGTGCTCCAACTGAAGAGTGGAGAGACTTTCCTGTAGGACAGACAAAGGAAATCAATGATATTACAAAAAATAAATAGTAATCATCATACTTTAAAGGAAATCACTTTTGTCACTTTTGAAAATTGAAGCTATTGGTGTGTTGTGCAGATATGATATTCTCAAGAATTTTAAACAAGTCTGAGAACCATCAGATGGGCAGGAGCAAGCCGATCCAAATAGAGATCTGTGTAAGTTGTAGGTGAGGGTAAGAAGTGAGTGATATGATAATATTCAGAGACAATTCATTCTATTGATAAATCTTGAAAGAGAAAGCTCTGGAAAGTATTTGGCTGAAGGCTTCATATAAGCAGGAGATGTCAAATAACTAGGTCCACCCATTAAGTAGATGTCTTATTATAATTTATGCTAAAACAGTTTTATGTACGTGTGCGTGTACATTACAAAAAAAAATTCACCATGATAATTTATGCTACCAAAACACTATTTTCAGCACCCAGACTATTGAATCTAGGTTCAGATGTGCTCATGAACAGGTGTTTGTTTCTATAATGACCTGTTGTCTGGCAATCGTTTCCTGTAGAGTAATGGTTTCCTTGCGAAGACCTTGTGTCAACAGATCTGTGTCACCAACTGTACTCTCCATGTGCCTCAGCTTACCATCCAACTCCACTTTTTCCCTATGACATACAACAAACAGTACATTTCTGATTTCTGATATGTATGTACCTATGTTTCACAATTCACATAAAATATTCCAATCATATAATCCAAATGAAGTTCTCTAAATTTTGTAAAAGAATATTTTCAAATCAAGACATCAACAAATATTACATGTTTTGAAAATCCACTTATCATATTTGCGAATATACAGACTTAACAATTAAAGTTAACTAAAACTACATTGGATTTATCAAATTTGTACCTACAGGATAGGACAGAGATATCTAAAATCTGTAGATTCCTGATGACTGTATAACCCAACACATTCCCTACCTACAGGGTAGGACAGAGATATCTCTATCACCCAAGGCATACCTACAGGGTAGGACAGAGATATCTCTATCTGTGGAGATTCCTGATGACTGTATAACCCAACACATTCCCTACCTACAGGGTAGGACAGAGATAACTCTATCTGTGGGGTAACCCAACATTACTGCTACAGCTGTGCTTCCTTTTGTATAACCCAACACATTCCTACCTAGGACAGATAACTCTATCTGTGGAGATTCCTGTTGACTGTATAACCCAACACATTCCCTACCTACAGGGTAGGACAGAGATATCTCTATCTGTGGAGATTCCTGATGACCGTATAACAAATTCCCTACCTACAGGGTAGGACAGAGATATCTCTATCACCCAAGGCATACCTACAGGGTAGGACAGAGATATCTCTATCTGTGGAGATTCCTGATGACTGTATAACCCAACACATTCCCTACCTACAGGGTAGGACAGAGATATCTCTATCTGTGGAGATTCCTGATGACTGTATAACCCAACACATTCCCTACCTACAGGGTAGGACAGAGATAACTCTATCTGTGGAGATTCCTGATGACTGTATAACCCAACACATTCCCTACCTACAGGGTAGGACAGAGATATCTCTATCTGTGGAGATTCCTGATGACTGTATAACCCAAGGCATACCTACAGGGTAGGACAGAGATATCTCTATCTGTGGAGATTCCTGATGACTGTATAACCCAACACATTCCCTACCTACAGGGTAGGACAGAGATATCTCTATCTGTGGAGATTCCTGATGACTGTATAACCCAACACATTCCCTACCTACAGGGTAGGACAGAGATATCTCTATCTGTGGAGATTCCTGATGACTGATGACTGTATAACCCAACACATTCCCTACCTACAGGGTAGGACAGAGATATCTCTATCTGTGGAGATTCCTGATGACTGTATAACCCAACACATTCCCTACCTACAGGGTAGGAAAGAGATAACTCTATCACCCAAGGCATACCTACAGGGTAGGACAGAGATATCTCTATCTGTGGAGATTCCTGATGACTGTATAACCCAACACATTCCCTACCTACAGGGTAGGACACAGAGATATCTCTATCTGTGGAGATTCCTGATGACTGTATAACCCAACACATTCCCTACCTACAGGGTAGGACAGAGATATCTCTATCTGTGGAGATTCCTGATGACTGTATAACCCAACACATTCCCTACCTACAGGGTAGGACAGAGATATCTCTATCTGTGGAGATTCCTGATGACTGTATAACCCAACACATTCCCTACCTACAGGGTAGGACAGAGATATCTCTATCTGTGGAGATTCCTGATGACTGTATAACCCAACACATTCCCTACCTACAGGGTAGGACAGAGATATCTCTATCTGTGGTGGAGATTAACCCAACACTGATGACCTGTATAACCCAGGGTAGGACAGAGATAACTAGATTCCTGATGACCGTATAACCCAACACATTCCCTACCTACAGGGTAGGACAGAGATATCTCTATCTGTGGAGATTCCTGATGACTGTATAACCCAACACATTCCCTACCTACAGGGTAGGACAGAGATATCTCTATCTGTGGAGATTCCTGATGACTGTATAACCCAACACATTCCCTACCTACAGGGTAGGACAGAGATATCTCTATCTGTGGAGATTCCTGATGACTGTATAACCCAACACATTCCCTACCTACAGGGTAGGACAGAGATAACTCTATCTGTGGAGATTCCTGATGACTGTATAACCCAACACATTCCCTCCCTACAGGGTAGGACAGAGATAACTCTATCTGTGGAGATTCCTGATGACTGTATAACCCAACACATTCCCTACCTACAGGGTAGGACAGAGATATCTCTATCTGTTGAGATTCCTGATGACTGTATAACCCAACACATTCCCTACCTACAGGGTAGGACAGAGATATCTCTATCTGTGGAGATTCCTGATGACTGTATAACCCAACACATTCCCTACCTACAGGGTAGGACAGAGATATCTCTATCTGTGGAGATACCTACAGGGGAGGACAGAGATATATCTATCTGTGGAGATTCCTGATGAACAACATTCCCTACCTACAGGGTAGGACAGAGATAACTATCTGTGGAGATTCCTGATGACTGTATAACCCAACACATTCCCTACCTACAGGGTAGGACAGAGATATCTCTATCTGTGGAGATTCCTGATGACTGTATAACCCCACACATTCCCTCCCTACAGGGTAGGACAGAGATATCTCTATCTGTGGAGATTCCTGATGACTGTATAACCCAACACATTCCCTACCTACAGGGTAGGACAGAGATATCTCTATCTGTGGAGATTCCTGATGACTGTATAACCCAACACATTCCCTACCTACAGGGTAGGACAGAGATATCTCTATCACCCAAGGCATACCTACAGGGTAGGACAGAGATATCTATCTGTGGAGATTCCTGATGACTGTATAACCCAACACATTCCCTACAGGGTAGGACAGGATATCTGTGGGACAGGGTAGGACAGAGATATCTCTATCTGTGGAGATTCCTGATGACTGTATAACAGGGACAGGTTAGGACGGGACAGGATGTGACAAGATTATTCCCTACCTACAGGGTAGGACAGACAGACTGTGGAGATTCCTGATGACAGGTATAACCCAACACATTCCCTACCTACAGGGTAAAATGACAGGTGCATAAACAGGTGGAGATGCTACTGATTTTTTCCCTATTTAGTTGCCCCTATACTGTATGATTACTTAATGCTGATTCCATACTTCATTAAAATACATCGATAATTAGATACACACTATTTGTATGACATGTACCTCGTGACTTCGAGATCTCGTTCAGTTGATGAGTTTTCCCTCTCCAGACTGTGTTTCTGAAGTGTCAGTTCCTTCTGCATTTGCTGCTCCGTGCGGTCACATTTGTTCTGTAGTTCAGCAATCGTTTGGTCCCTTTCACTAAGTCGTTTGATCATAGCATCATATTCTGTAAAAATGAAACACACTCTATATAAGATAGCCAGGACTGCTGAGTCATGCTTTTACCTATAGTTTCAATACAGTGAAAACGTCTTTTAATTAGAAGGAATTTGTGAGTTATGTCTTCTCACACTTGTACTATACAGTGACCAACATTTTGGATACAATAAAAGAGAGCAAGGACTCACATATTTATATATATTTATATTGATATACCCTAAACTTCCAAAGTATCAAGGGTTCTGTCCTTAACTGACTTTAAAACTTAATTATATGTAGACATTGATGTTGTGATGCTGTGGTGTGAGTTGGAACCAAATCTGTTCGGAGATATTTTGCACTTTGGCCTTTTATTTCCAAAGTGGTCAAAGGTGACCTTTGACCTTTAACCTTGACAATTAAAATCTAATCAGGTGTAGATCTTGGTGATGTGATACGAATATGAACAAACTCTGTTTAGGAGTTTATGAGGTAGCTTGTACAGGAAACTATCAGAGATATAAACACTGAGACACAGAATTACGAAGTGATTACCATAGATGGACATGCCTAGGTGGTTAAAGGCATAACAATAATGTTACACCTTTTACACTGAAATATCACAAATTATGAATTTGACAAAACTGCATGTACATCATCACTGCAGTGAAGACGATTATCTATTCATCGTGTGAAAATCCAACAAGTTTTGTATACCTTATCTCATTTGTTAATTTGAACAAATCAAATATGTTTAAATCAATACCTTGGTAGATGGCACCCTTGTCCTGTTTAAGACCTTCAACAGTTTCCCTACTAGTGGTCAGCTGACTCTGGGTGGACTCTAACTCCTTTGTCAGAACATTCACCTGATCTTGTAACTCAGCACATGACTGCTGCTGGACATCCAGAGATCCCTGTACAACATGTAGTATACATTCTAGAACAGATTGTTCAATATTGAGACAACAAATCTACTGCAAAAGCAAGAAAAATGACCGACAAATGCAACAATTTTCACATGTATAACTGTAATGGTACGGGATATATAGACTTATCACAAAAGTAAAGAGGACAATTTCAGCATATTGTCTCAACATTTATTAAGATAAGTATATATATCCAGCTGTAAGTGATGACAAGTCAGATTGTAGTATATAAATAAGTAAAACAATCTATCTACACTCTTCTGGTACAGAGTTTAAACACTGTAGCTAAACAGTATAAATTGTGATGTTAATACAAAACACTGTAAGCTGTCTAACAATGATCAGACAATAAATCTACTTACTATATAACAAAGTTTATGTGCATTTGACATTTTTTTACATTTTACTTTGCACATTATAGATGAATCTGACATCAGACCATGTACATTAATGATTTGTATAAATCATCATTAAGTGATAGCAGCTTACCATAACCAATTATATGATGGCTTACAATAATTAAAATATCAAACATAACCCTGTGCGAAATTCAAATGATTCAGTCACATTTGGTATTCTACATCCTACAAACTGACACCTCACTCGATTTTTGCAGTTTTTTTCTGAAAAGAACTTTAAGGTAAATTGAGATCTGGGTAAAGATTGCATTTGAAATCTTGGTTGTAAAACACTTTAATCATCATTCATCTAAAATTAATTAATCTACATGAACACTATATATTTGTATAAAAACTGACAAAATTTTGTCTCATTCACGTTGTCACATCATCATATAAGTATGTTATCAAATCACATTTCATACATTTACATTTTGCAATTTTTTAAACTCATGGCTTATCTTGATAGTCACAGGGATGCAGACACATTCTAGATGATAATGATATGTCATGTTGACATCAGGTTGACTAATGTTAAGTCAGTGCTTTACACACTGACTTAGATAACACACAATGTAGCTCTATATCAACCAGAAAATAAACATAACCATGAAAACAACCAGAAAATAAACATAAGCGGGAAAAAAGTCCTAAATCTAACATAAACAATTGTAATGGATTTCATTCTGTTTATCTCTCATCCATATTGCATTCATATTGACAATAACATACAACCAGACAATTGTTCACTGGTCCACTGGGATACATCTTGTCATTTTGTACATGAACCCTTACAACGACCTGAGTGTTGACAGTCTTAAAGGATAATGAAATGATATGTTACAAACTTGCTGGTCATATTTAATGATATCACTACAGTGACTAGAGCAGAGAGGATTTAAATAATGACAGAGAGTGTGCCTTCTAAAAGAATTTTGAAAAAATATGATTGTGGGGCAGGGAGCATACAAGTACTCCAGTCCAAGAAGGTATACTCCTATAACATAAGAGGCCAGTGGTCGGCTGTTTTATTATCTGTTATTATTGTGCTGACTGCGACTGTCATAAGTTCCTGGCTGTGTAAATCCTCTAACGTTAATAGAGTAGAGATGTTACTGAGTTTTTTGATGGGTACCTGCCCCTCACATGTTTGTGACTGAAACTGATCGCCTAGAACTGTCAATTGCAATTGTATACAGGATGATTTGAAGATTGAAATAAAAGAAACATTCTTGTGGATTTAATTTATCATACCTTTTAAAATGAGTAACAGTAATATCTTCTTGACCTTCAAAGTTGCTTTAAAGCCAAAGCATACAATAAATAGCCTTTAGCATCCTGGGATTGATAGGTCATCTGGTAATAGGTCAAATTCTAGAACAACCACCATGCTTGTTTACAATATGAATGGCTTAGTGTAACTTACAGGAAAAAAAAAATATGGGACTATAAGAATTTGGTCAGCATACAAGGACCTTTGTTAATATTTAATCGTACAGACACCAATGGAGAGAATGTTTAGTAAATCGTACATAACGTAAGGCCCCTATATCTGTGTGTAGATAATCTATGAAGGCACCCAGCCAGACAAGTTCAATATTTGCTGTCTTTTGTTTTTACACTACATCAATAAAATAAAGGATTATCTGTGTATAATTCATTTGCAAACTTTATTTAATGTTTCATCGACGATCTTGATAACTTGCTTTCTATTGTCCTTTATATCAACAAACTTTGGTGGACATAACTGTTACCACTTCGTAAGAACTGCCTTCCGTTATCTGTTATTGGTATATCAAACGTCAACAATAGTGGTCACCATATCATAAGAAAGGGCGTGGCTTATATTCTGGTGTGGTTTACACGAGGATCAAATCGAAAAAATCGGTAAAAATTAGCTCTGCACGAGTGCAGCTTATAACCCAGAAAATATGGTAGTGTCCGCAAAAAGCCTAGTCAGCTTTCTACTTTTATATCTGTTCTAAATATGCCAGTAATTTGACTCTTTCATGTGAAAATGTAACATTCTAATATTATTTTATTTTCACTTGTGCTGCATACTCATGAAAGATACTGAAATATTAGACACACTTGTGAAATATATATTTTGGTTTCACTGAAGACTATTAAATATCCTCTATATACATAAGATTGAAAGGCTACTGTTAAACCTTTAGGGTGGTAGAGCTGTTTTACCTTTCAACCCCTATATAAATGTTTGTAATATATGTTAGAAAGAGCACAAATTAATGTTAGAAAGACAATATTAACAAAACAAAGGAGATAAATTGGAGGACACCAACTAACTGGAATCATAACACAGAGAACTGATACAGAAATGAGTCAGCAATGTTAGATGGAAAATATGAGTAGGTAGATGTTTATCTTTATTTTACAACATTCAGTGCCATTAGTTCCTATAAACTACATGTGACAGTGAAAAGTGACCCAATCCAGTTAAAAGTGACAGACTTATAGTGAGTCAATTAGTGCCCATTTATGAAGCAGAAGATTACAAACTTTCAAATTGTCCACGGTTTGTTTTTCATGATTAAGGTTGTTCAACAACAATCCGTGTTCATGTCTAAGTCGTTCAAGCTCATGACATGTAGATACAAGCTCATCTTGTTTTTTGGCCGCATTTGACTTCTCTTCCTCCAGCTGAAAAATTACCTATCTTAATAAAACCTTAAGTTATTTACAGAAACCAACTGGTGACTTCTGTAAAATAATGAAAAAAATTATTTTTTGATAACTTCTGTTTGAACAAAAATCTCATTATTGTGTCATAAAATTTTGCTTAGAAAAATTATAAAAGAGTAAGCATGAATGCCCTTACATTACAATACAGATAGTTATCTTTAATGAAAGTACCCATTGTCAACTCAAACTCCTGTAGTGTAGTTGATGCCAACTCAGAAATTTATAGTTAAAACCATCAACAATATTTTAAAGAGTTCTGGAATGCATACTGACCCGCCCCCTTTCTGTTTCCAGGTGAGTCTCGAGAGTCGAGGTAAGGACTGCTTTATTGTCTACATCCTGCTGTAGGTTGTCTAACTTTCCAAGTAACTGGGACCTGTCCAGTTCTAACGACTGACAATTCTGTCTGGTCTGGCCAAGCTCTGCTTCCAGATTGGCGATAATGGCTTCCTTCTGTAGCACCTCTCGGGATGTTGTTTTAGTGGATTCCTCAGTCCTCTCCACCTGAATAACCATAATACTGTATGTGTGAGTACTGTGTGAGTACGATAACCATAATATTCCAGTCTCTGTTCATATTTGAAAGAAATCACTCTTAAAGTTTCAGCAGAAATATTTGATAAAATATGTGTTAACCTTACCTTCCTCATGACGTCTGCGATCTCGGCTCGTCGCCGCTCCTTGATGCCTTTCTCTTTCTCCACGCTCGCACTGAGCTGGGCATTCTCCTTCTGAAGTCTTGCTCTCTCCTTCACTAGGAACTGGTTCATTTCCCTATTAGCCACCCCTTCCTTTATCTGACAAAGACAATCAAAGAATCCTTCAAAATCTTACAGTATCTATATCGGCTATCTGGGTCATTTTTGTCTAGCATTGCTTTAATAAAATATGTAATCAATGCTTACTTGTACACAACCAGTATGTCTTGAATTTGTAACATTGTACCACTCTCCTAGTGGTTTACACTACAGAAGTAAATCCTTCAGGATCATCCTAAGCTTAGCTGACATTTCAAAACTTAATCATGTAAGGACATCCTTACCCTGACTGCCAGTTAAGAATTTTAATATCATCCCTATATTGAATTGGCTGATATTTCAGAAGAGAGTCGTAAAATGTCGCCCTTACCTTAGCTGGCACTTCACAAATATGATTGTACAATCTATCCTTATTTGTCAACTCTGCTGACAAAGTTGAGCAAAATCCTCCTTACCTTGGCTGACACTTCGGAAGTGAGTCGTGCAATATCGTCCCTGTTACACTGGTTCTCGTTATGTAGTAGTTCAACTCGTCTGTTGAGGAAGTCCATCTCCACTTGTTGTCGACTAACACAGAAAAGTTATATATTCTCTTTTAAAATCACTATAAACTTTGTATCATAATATGCAAAATCGTCTTTTTTTAAGAAATACTTTGTAACATTCAACTGTTTTAAAAACAACTTCATTTTTTTCTTTCTCTTTGAAAGCACACATTTGGATTTTCAGAAACATTTATAACAGAGGTAGATGACCTCCATTTTGACCTTTTTCCTATCACCACACAGACCTGAGTAAATGCCCTTGATTATGAGCTCTTTCCTATCACCACACAGACCTGAGTAGATGCCCTTGATTATGAGCTCTTTCCTATCACCACACAGACCTGAGTAGATGCCCTTGATTATGAGCTCTTTCCTATTACCACAATGATTGAGAAGATGCCCTTGATTATGAGCTCTTTCCTATCACCACACAGACCTGAGTAGATGCCCTTGATTATGAGCTCTTTCCTATCACCACAATGATTGAGTAGATGCCCTTGATTATGAGCTCTTTCCTATCACCACACAGACCTGAGTAGATGCCCTTGATTATGAACTCTTTCCTATCACCACAATGATTGAGTAGATGCCCTTGATTATGAGCTCTTTCCTATCACCACACAGACCTGAGTAGATGCCCTTGATTATGAGCTCTTTCCTATCACCACACAGACCTGAGTAGATGCCCTTGATTATGAGCTCTTTCCTATCACCACAATGATTGAGTAGATGCCCTTGATTATGAGCTCTTTCCTATCAGAACTCTGGTCACTAATCTACAGTGTATCAGCTTCATCTATCCTTATTACAGGTAAAAACAATAACTGTTAGGTCACAATGTCTTTGAGGATGAAATGAGATTACTCATACTTATCAAATTACTTAGCAGAACTTCTACACCTAGATCAAATCATACATACCTGATTTTATCATTCAACATTTCATGTTCCTTGTGTTTTGCATCCATCAGAACCCTCAAGCTATCTAGTTCCCCAGCCATCTGTCACATACAGTTTAGATGTCAAAATAAATATTGATTAATAAGAAATAACAATGACCTTTACAGATTGTCTGTATTACTGGTATATACTCTTGTCTCTTATATATGATATCATATCAAAATGCATTGGATACGAAGTGAAAGTGTATTTAAGGTATACAGAGTTTTTTTTTTTCAATTTTAAAATAAATTAATAAATACATAAATTGGTATAACAGTACAATCATCATACATAGAAAATCAAAACATTAACATGGCAAATCAAATCGTATGAAATTGCTAACGTTTTATTGGCCATCTTCAGGCCCGAATGCCGGAAAACGTTAGCAATTTCATAGCTTTTATCTTTTTTGAATAATATATATATATACATATACAATATATATATACAAAACCCCCACTTAAATTCTGTGCACCATAGAAGTTTTTTTGTTTTTTTTGCTATTATTCACTCATGTTGATGTAATAAGGAAGTAATTTCTATTGAATAAACTAAGTAAGTAACATATTACTTGTAGGAGTTGGTGTAACACTAACATTAGACATATTTATTTGATAAATTGACTTCTGATCCTCAACAGTGTATGACCATTGTGTTATATGTATGAACTGTGTATGGCCTGTATCTGGTGGGGGATGAATCCAATATCACCAAATATCTATACTTAATAGTTTACCACAAATGCATATCAGTAAAACATGTACGTTGTGTAATGCAGATAATATGAATCATGTAATGGTCTTCATAAATTGACCAAATCAAATATCCCTACTAAAAGGATTACTATATATGTGTAATGTAATTGACCTAATCTACAAACATCAAGCAGTTACCTCCCCTTAACTCTGTCACAAAAATTATGTTATATATCTCTTTCTTTCTTTCCTTTTTCTGTACAACCTGTTGTCACTATAAAAAGATGACTAAAATAGGCAATGCCTGATGTCCAACCCTACTGACATTTGTTTTTTGTCAACAAAACTGGTTAAAATTGAAATTGAAAAAAAATTAATTTCAGTATTTTGATAAAAACAGATGGATCCTTTTACCTTGAGAGCCTCAGCAGGTACTTGTGGATACTTGGAGGCAAAGTTTTCATGATTTTTACGAGCTTCCATTTCAAACTTGTGTACAATATCCTTGAGATTGGTCTCGAGTCTAACAATATCTTCCTCACTTTGATCTCGCTCTTGGGACAGAGCATCATGCTCCTCTGCAATTTCCTATATCACCAACAGGCATTACAATGTTATTAAAATGATTTCTAGTAAAATGATAAAGGCTCATTTCCTCAGAGTGATTGAATCCACATATAATCACAATTCTTGTCTGATATTATTAATTCGATTTCAACACAAATTTTCAAAATTAAGGCAAATATAAAAAAAATTCTTTTTAATCTCTTGATTTTGTAAAATACAGTACACAAAACCTTTTCAAAAACTGAAAAAAAAAAAATAAATAAAAAAAAAAATTTACACAACTACAAAATGTTCATATTATAATACAACTGACAGACCTCTAAATGCTGCTCGAGCTCTCCTCTCTCTGCACTAGTCTGTAGGTGAGACGACTTCTCATTCATCAGTTCTTGCTCCATCTGTTTAATGGCCTTGTCAAGATTACCATTTTCTTCAGTGGCTTGTTTTAATGCATCAGTCATCTCCTACAAAATATACAGATGATGATGGCGCATGGTATTACAACCGTAATACCGATGTTTTATATCTTAAGTGACAGAAGGTATTACAACCATACACAACCCTAATATTTGTTTTTATCAAAAATGACACTTTTTCATTATCTTTTATCTGTAATATTTGACTAGTTCACCATTATCATTAAAAAAATGATACAACATCTAGTTTTCCATGATCAAAATAAATGTTCGAAATTTCCTCTGAAATCTGACATACGATAAGCTCAATCTTCAGGTGGTCTCTTTCTGTCTCGAGTTCACGGATCTGAAGCATGTGGCTTGGAAGACTTGTCTCCCCTGCCTGATCGTCAACCTTCAATGGATTGTCCCTCTTCAAAGTGGTCAGTTCTTTCTCCATATACTCATATCTGTCCTTCTCCTTGCTCATCTCAAGATTTAACACCTTCATCTAAGACATCCAAAAATTTAGGATAAATTAGTTCACATTCCATTGTGGTATAGGCCCACTCATCAGTATAAATACACTCACAATTCCCTATTAAGCCTTTTTCAGAGTATCTCAGTCTTTGCAATCAACTTGCAACAGAAAGACTTTTTTTCATCAACTTGCTGCTCTTGTAAAAGTAATTTTCCAAGGCTAAAACATCTAGTGTCATTTGACAGCATGGTAAAATCATGTTTATTATTTTTACTACAAAAATTGTCCCCTTATAAGGAATAGTCTATGCGACAAGAAAACTTGAGGTCAACCCCTTAATTGCAAATTCAATGATCTTGCTGATTTGCAAAACTGTGCAGTAAAAGTCACCAGCAATCAGAAATGAGACATAAGGTATGCATATTTCTCATAAGGAGAACACACTATAAACAAACAGATTGATTTAACAATGAATAAAGGAAATATCTTAATGGCAAATTGTCACTTCTATCGTTGTCCTTTGTCACAAAAGTAAACAGAGATAAATACTCCCAATCTAATATACCTCAGCACATTTCTGGTTGAGCTCCTGACTGACAGAGTCCAGTGTCTCCTTTAGGATCTGGAACTGAGCAAGCTGTTCTTTCTCTGTTCCACTAAGGGTGTCCAGGATCTGGCCTCTCTGTTCTATCTGACTCTGGTAACTTTCAATCTACAACCAACCATGTATACAAAGCTACATTATGGATGTCACTGGTAACATAACTAAATCACAGCCAAACTTTTTACAGTTGTTAAATACCAGTAAACAAAATTTGGATTGTTTTCTTTATCAATGAACTCTTAAACAAATATGTCTTTCACACCTCAAAATATGACCATACCATACTGATACAGTATGTGATTTTTACACAATTCTTCTACGAAAAGCTTTACGGTAGGAACTTCTATATCAAACAAGACATTAAGAACTTTATTTCAGCAGTTATTTAGAAAATAAACTTAGAAACAAGACTGACATCCAAACCTTGCAGATCATTAATCAGAAATCAGAAAGTATTTCGATGTTTGAAATCAATTTTTTTCATTATGCAAGAAGTTGACAAACTGACATAGAAAATGAATTCTCTGTCCCTAAATTTGGCAAAAAGAATTGCCCTAGAAAATTAAAACAAAATATAAACAGTCATTGCATATAACCATTTGTACACAAATAAGTATAAAACAATGTATCAGGCGATGACGTCAGTTGGGAAGGAACATTTCACATTTCTGTGCATGTGTGCCTGTATTACATGGGTGGGTGTGTATAAAAGAATAACGAACCTGGGTTTATTTTCCTAGATAGACCAATATTTTACACGTAGAAATGAGAGTAATCTATACCTGCGCTTCAAAGTCCTGTGACTGGATCTGTTCAGCATAAAGATCTTGACGCGCTGTCTGCAGCTCTGCTTCCAGAGCATCATACTCCTGACTCAATTTGCCAAGTCTTCTGTCTCTCTCTTCCAGCTCCTCTCGTAACATCTGTGACTGCTGCAAGATTACATAACAAATAATGGAGTTCCAGAAAGTGTCATCAAGCAATTGATTCACAGTTTTAAGTCACAAAGATTACTTGGGATTTCATGACTTACAATAAAGCTCTGTTTAGAGAAAATTGAACAATAGCAACATAAACACTTACTACAAATTCTAGTAATAGTACATCAATATAAAGTAGTAGAAAGGAATGTTGGTAAGAGAAGGTGGCATTTGAAAAAATATTATGCACTAATCAAATATCAAATATACCTGGGAAACATTTGCATTTTTTCTTTATACAATCAATACATATAACAACAGGGAAAGAATGTAAAAGACAAATTTAACCATTATTACATCTATGAACTATAATACCAGCAGTTAGGAATATCTATACAACAAAGTGGATTTGTGTTATTTCTTGTCTATATGCTTCAGCCTGGCTCTCATGGCAGGCCACATCATGTAGGCTGTCACCGTAAACACCACAAAACATCCTTGTGGATCTAATATTCCTTTATTTCAATAGAATCCAGGGATGGATCCACACATGGATCAAAGTTCAACATCAGGAGTGTTGGACCACACATTATCTATCCAAATTAAATTAGTATATAAATCCTATTTTTTTATTCCATTTTTCACAAACAAATATAAAGTTCTGATGTGAAATATATATATTTTCCATCGAGTGAAAATAAGAATTTTTTCATATTTTCACTCCTTTTTGACAAATCAGATCACAACATTTGCAGTGTAAATATTGACTTTCCGAGAGTGCAGACTTCAGAAATGACAACCCTGATGTATCAACTCTACTCAATCTTAATTTAATAAATAATTGTGTTTCATGTCATGTATTTTCCACCTTTATATGCAGCACACATATAGACATAGCTAGTGTATTCAGTTAACTTCAAAATTAGGAATATCCTCTATCTATTTAATACATAATGTTGTCTTTCCACACCAGTTCCAATCAGCTTACCTTATTGTCAGTCATTTCCCCATGTTTGGTTTCCTTGACCTTGGCCTTGGCTAGGCTGACCTCTCTGAAGGAAGCCTCCAGATCTCTCTCTAGCCTGGACTTTTCTGTGTTTAAGGATGCAACCTTATCATGAAGGAGCTTGATTTCAGCCTGATGTTCATTTATCTGACAATGAAAGTTTAGAAATATTAGCAACAGATTGCTGACGATATCACATTACAACGAAAAATCTTCTAATACAGTCAAACTTCTATAAGTCGAACTTCAATGATTCAAAATTTCTAAATGTATCATCTGTTTTGTCTTGACCTGAATTTGATTCCTGTATATTACTACATGTACTCGCGAACACCTGAATCAATCAAAGTTTAATAAATCAATCTTTTGAAGAATCATAGTTCTTCAGGGACTGTTTACCTGTACTGTACTGGTATTTTTGCCCTGCGATAGAATTTCACACATTTAAACAAACAGTGCTAACTGATAAAGGGACTATGATAGCGTGTTGTTGTTTACTCTGTGTTTTGAGGTCAATGAATGATTAGATACAGATTAAAGTTTAAGTTTCACACTTACAAGCCATAACATTTAATCAACAAAGAAAATGGAATATCTGTGATGTTCACTGCCACCATTGTGGTAACATCAAAATAATCCTCGAACCAAGAGAAACTAAATTAACGAGTGATGACATTTTGTCTGACAAGGTAGACTACATACCTGTTTGAATGAATTACTTACCTGTAATGAGAGTTTGTCGATCTTATCCTGTTTGCGGTCCTCATAACCATCCCCTGTTAGGTGTGAGCGTGCCAGATCTAACTCACTTTGAGCATCCTCCAGTGCCTTGTCTCTCGCCTCTAGCTGTATTCGCAGTGTGGACAGCTCACCATTTAACAGGTGATTATTCCTAGTCACCTGTTGGACCTGGCTCTCTAAGTCCTTTGTCTGAGCCTGCAGAGCTTCAATACGCCCTGGACAGAGACAGAGGCTCATTTATCAAATAACTTTACACTAACATATGACTTAGAAGAACACAAAGTATTGAAAATTGAACACTAAACTATTAATATCTATAAGCTAGAATTGCTTTGACAAAACAAAATCATTCCAAACAATAAGCCCATTTTTTACCCCTTGATATATTAGGTTCCTATAAATAAATGAACTTTATTTATTTTACAACAATTGCAAGACAACAGGAGACTCCATACTTTGTTGTGTCCATTTTGTGAATCAAACCCCAAATATGTATGTGAAATGCAGTGCATTACCAATGCACCATCCAACCACCTGAGCCAGAAATAAGATTCCTGCCTCAATGAAGACAATATTTTCACTGAGAATATGCATTCTTTGTTTTCTAAATTAACAGCTTATTGGCCAGTATGGAGTGATATCGCTAAAACCTAAGTCAACTTTTCCCTTTTTTTCAATACCAACATTCCTGGTATAACTGGAAGTTGTTTTGTTGGAGAGGTATAATTTTGAAAATTCAAAAAAAAAAAAAAAAAAAAAAAGAAAGATAAAAAAAACTTATTATGGTTGTGAAGCACTGTCAAGTTAAGTTTCTTTTCTTTGTAACTGATTAAGAAAATTCACTTACCATTGGTGGCAAGACTAAGGGAAGCTCCGAGACTTGATGCACCACCTCCAGACAGACTGGCTTTCAGTATCTCATTCTCACCGCGAATAGCCTCCATCAAATCTTCGGCAGTCTTCAAGCGAGCAAAGGCATCATGGCGTTCATTCACCAGCAGAGTCAGTTGTCTGTTAAATACAAGACAGGCACCATTAACTTCTGTACAATTTGTATCAGTAAAGGTGTGATAAAACAAGGTTAAAAAGCTGTTGATCAGACATCAATGCTCCTTTGCCAAGCAGATAAGTATAATTTTTCGATGAGTTTGTGTAAGTTTTCTAATGTGACATTGGCTATGTTACCTTGACAATTGACAGTAATATAAGGGGTAGAACTTGCTGATGTCATAATGATATGGATTACACTATATGTACACCCCCACCCCATCGCCCTCACTCTCCACCCTTTTCTATAAGTTTAAGTTTATTTCATCTTTTACAAATAAATTTTCTATAAACAATATTTTTCCCATTGATAACATATAGAAAGAGAAGTGCTGTAGTGTCCACATACTCCTTGTACGTTGTTTCCTGGGTTTCCTTCTCCAACTTCACATCCTCCAATTGTTCTTGTAGTTGTTTCAGCTGTGCGTCGGCATGACTTTTCACATCTCTTAAGTTCTGCACAAAATTAAAACAAATACATCAAAGGTCAAACTGAAAGCACAGGTTATAGGACTACAAGTCCTCAAAACTATAAGATTAGGAGATAAAATTAGAAACAATGTGTAGAGGATAGATGTGACAAATGAGTTAGGACGAAGAGCTTTATAATAAGAGAACCAAATAATTACAGAAAAGCAATATAAGATTTTTCAGGAAGAAACAACAAATTCATGAAAAGTATGCTAAGAATATAACATTTCGACAGCAATTTAAAGATTATTTTTTGATAAGAAACATTTTTTTTCAAAAACATGTATATTTTAGAAAAAATTGATTTGAAACATTTTTACTAATACCATTTAAGCTGACCATTTCCAAACAAAAAAAGAAAACCTAGATCCCATTTGGATCAGTGAGAATCATTTAAATTTATGAGAATTACAGTGACTTATCAGTAGCTATTTGTTGTTGAGCAGCATGATGCCTCACTGCTGAAGTTGGTATAAGGGGGATTTATGACATATTAATCAAAATATATTGGATGAAAAGTCCTGAATATGTTATCTGTTTCTAGCATGAGATAATGATAGCTAGTCCTGACAAACTCTAGGTCTTACCATTGATTAATCTCAAAGGTGTGATTAATCAAAGGCCTGTTTAGTAAAATTGTGCTTAATCAAATGCTTGATAAACCAAATGTGTACTTAATCAAAGGCTGATTAACTAAAGGTGTTAAAATAACCCTGGTTAATCAAAGATGTGCTTAATCAAAGGCTGATTAACTAAAGGAATTGAAATAACCCTGGTTAATCAAAAATGTGCTTAATCAAAGGATGGTTAATCCAAGACGTGCTTAATCAAAGGCTGGTTAATCCAAGACGTGCTTTATCAAAGGCTGGTTAATCAAAGACGTGCTTAATCAAAGGCTGGTTAACTTAAGATGTGGTTCATCAAAGGATGGTTTGCCAAAAATGTGCTTCATAACCAAAAGGCTGGTTAGCCAAAAGTTACATTTAACAAGAATTACATTTAATTCAAGGCTTTTCATGGAAGCAAAATTATTTTGAGATAATGTAATGCATTTCAATTTTCACTCTATTGTAAATACATGCCATGGAAACTGTATTTAATCAGTGAAGATAGATGGAGTGCTAAGGGCCTGGAACCAGCATATCATAGATATATATACGGTAATATGAAAAGAACAGTAACATCTCACACATTCCAGGACAACTAACTACAACAAAGCATGCAATTTACAACACAAACAAGCTGTTAACCAGCTCTGGTTTTTGCATCAATTTAAGCAGGTTTTAATGTTTAATATAATTCCTGATTTTGTCAACAAATGTTGGTATAAGTTATGCCATTGGTGTACCTTGAGCCCCTCAGCTATGTTGTTATCCCTGAGGTTCAGTGCCTGGAGGGTAATCTCCAGTTGTCTTAGTTGGTGATATGTCTGTTGCCGTGTGTTCCACAACTGACAGATCATGTCTTTTTCCTGTCCTGCCTTTAATCCTGCCTCAGTCTCAAGCTGTGAGAGAATTTGTCGGTAGTCCTTCTGCAGGAGGACACATGCAGGTGATACGTGAACACAGACAACAAATATTTATGCAGTGAAAACAAAGTTAGTCCTAAGTTGTTGACAATCATACATTGCATCATGCACAGAACATGAGCACCACAAACATGATATATCCACCTATCCCCAGTGAAAATTTTCTATACTAGATATTTGAGCTGTCGTATTTCCATTCTTGAAACCAACCATCCTAGTAACACCCCACTAGGGTGAAATCTTAACTGTAATTTTAAAGATTGAAAACTTTGTCAAAAGAGTTAAGTCTCAAAACATGTCCAAAATTTAAAAACAAATTCAGACTAATCTCAAAATGACAGACTGATGGAGATAACTGGTATTACATAATACGTTGCTGAAATCTGAAGGTAGTAAAAATGTAGCAGAAAAACAAGTCAAAATACCATCCACCAGGGTTGTAAAATACTGTATAATGCTTCTAAGTCTCCGTAATATTTAGTGTCAGTAAATACCTTAGTGTAAGACTTCAGAATTAACATGCAGTTTACAACATGACTTACGATCACCACTTGAAGCATTCTCTAACTATCAGTGAATACCATGCAATTTGCAAACAGATCCTTCCCATTCTTAAAAAAATTGTCTCTAAAATCAACCAAAATATTTTTTCTTTTTTTTTTTTAAACACAATTCAAAAATTCAAATTAAAAATTCTTTTGCACCGAAAATACTTAAGTTTCTTGATGCATACCCAATTATTTATCAGTGGCATAACTTTACTACTATAATATAGGTACTAGCGTGATACTGACCTTGACAGTTTCCTGGCGCTGTGATGCATGTACACCATATGGAATGTCATAGCTCTTCTGTGTTGTTAGGGCTGCTTCATCAAAAGGGAGGGACAAACGCAGACGTTCATTGTCCTCGCGAGTATCCTTGATTTTATTCTCAAGATTGCGGTTCTTATCTTTCTCACGGTGGAGCTGCCTATTTAACTCTTTTTCTGTGGCCTACGTCCAATGAAAGGTATTTAATTATGAAATAACAGAATGTCTAAAATTGTGACTGGTATTGATGTAAGATATAACCCATGCACATTATATGTCTTAACATCATGTTTTTACCTATTTATTTTGATAATGTACCTCATTTGATTTTAAATTCATATATAGTAATCATTCTTTTTAATGCTTACCGGTATATGTGGAACATACAGGATTTTAAATAAGTTTTCATTTCATATGACAATTCACAAAAATAAGTCATTAAGACACCCAGAAAAGGTCCATAACTTAAATTTCACATGAAATGAAAACAAATTCAATATACCCTTTTATCAAATAGCTAAGAAAAGCTACATTTTACAAGTTTAAAAGTCAAAATGTAGAGGACAAAATCAAAGCCATTTTGTTGCACTACTTTAAACTGATGATGTAGCATCATCGTCCATATTATGACATCACGATTAGTTTCTGACTAGCCCAGTCAGAAAAAAAATGGTATATTACACAAGTGACATAGGCGAGAATATTACATGAGGGAAATCACTGGACAAAAGGCCAAATGGTTAAACTAGCTAACCAACACCCAAAAATGGGAGACTTACTGTTAATAACTGTCAAACTTAAGGAAATGATGGTTCTATTGTTGACACAAGCCTACCTGTAGGCGTGCATTCTCTGTGAGGAGTTTGTCCTCAACCTGTGACAAATTATTAGCCCGGTCAGCCCGCTCCTGGTGTAGCCGTTCTTCAGTAATTCGAAGTCGTTTCTCCAGTGACTTGATCTGTCAGAAGAGAAATGAACATGAAAGTGGTATTATTTGAAACAAGCACACGTATATTAAATGATATCAGATCATACCTGTGAGTTGTAGTTCCACCTACTCTAGTCTCTATGACACCTGTTCGGTGAAGTTCTACTGACTACAGACCAGTCTCTTTCATATCTGTTTTGAGTACCTCAATTTGCTCCAGTCTCACAGTCAAACTTATTTACAATAGCTCCATCCACTCTAGTGTCTGTCATACCAGTTTGGTGAAGCTCCCTTCACTCCAGACCAGTCTTTGCCATACTTGTAGCTACATCCAATCAAGTCTCATTGTCATATGTACATTTGTTCCACTTATCCTCGTCTCAGAGTTCAGTAGTTTCAACCCACCAGTTTCTATTCTATACACTTTGCTACATACCTCTTTGTCAGTTGGTGTAGCTCTGCCTCCCCCAACCCTCACCGCCCACCTGTCAATCACTGTAGCTCCACCTCGTCCCATATCTATGCTATACAAACCTGTTTGTCAGTCACTGTAGCTCCACCTCGTCCCATATCTATGCTATACAAACCTGTTTGTCAGTCACTGTAGCTCTACCTCTACCCATATCTATGCTATACAAACCTGTTTGTCAGTCACTGTAGCTCCACCTCTACCCATATCTATGCTATACAAACCTGTTTGTCAGTCACTGTAGCTCCACCTCTACCCATATCTATGCTATACAAACCTGTTTGTCAGTTGCTGTAGCTCCACCTCCTCCCATCTCAATTTGCTGCTGCAGCAGGTTTTTCATCTCAGTCAGTTTAATGACCTGCTGACTGAGTTCCTTTGAACGAGAGTCCTCTTCCTGTAGGTGGCGCTCACTCTGCTCTAACAATGACTTGACACGGGTGACTTCATCCTGGCAATTACGACAGACAGTAACAGTGACTGCATTCATCAAATAACAGCATAGCTTTAACAGTATTACAATTTTACAATATAATCCTAGGCCTTCTGCCTGGATACCTAATGGTATGTAGCAGGTTGATGTAATAGAGTGAGGTAAAATCAGGGGATTCAATCACAACAGGCTGGAGATGATTTCTAGTAATTTAATAGGTATTTTCTACTGGTTTCACCAGGACACAGTATTGTAAAATTTCTTCCCTAAGGTTCTAAAATTGTGGGCAGCTTTATATTATGCATTATGATGAGACAATTAAACAATACATTCTATGTTAACAAAATGTCCATTTTTCTGTTATCTTTTGAATTACGTTCCATTTAGCCTTCTATACACTCTCCATCACAGTAATTTTCTATTATGCAACAAATGTAAATGTTCAAGAAGACAAACGGTCGACAATGGTTCTGGTAATCTATAATCTACATATGTTGTAACTCTCCGACTCAAATGTATTTGGTGCTGATGCCGTGCTACCAACATCATTGCGGAGTTTAAAATCGTTTTTTAAACTGCTGTATCCAGTACAACTCTAGACCAGCAATAAAGCTGCGTGTCAGTATTGTCCTGAACTTAACTCTATCAAGTTGGTCCTTGGTGAGAGCCTCGAAAGGTTACTCATTGTCAGGTTTCTGTGTTTCTTCCTTGATTTTATCCTGTAATACTTGTGGATCTATTACATATCCTGGGTGTGCTTGTTTATCCTGTAATACTTGTGGTTCTATTACATATCCTGGGTGTGCTTGTTTATCCTGTAATACTTGTGGATCTATTACATATCCTGGTGTGCTTGTTTATCCTGTAATACTTGTGGATCTATTACATATCCTGGGTGTGCTTGTTTATCCTGTAATACTTGTGGTTCTATTACATATCCTGGGTGTGCTTGTTTATCCTGTAATACTTGTGGTTCTATTACATATCCTGGTGTGCTTGTTTATCCTGTAATACTTGTGGATCTATTACATATCCTGGGTGTGCTTGTTTATCCTGTAATACTTGTGGTTCTATTACATATCCTGGGTGTGCTTGTTTATCCTGTAATACTTGTGGATCTATTACATATCCTGGTGTGCTTGTTTATCCTGTAATACTTGTGGATCTATTACATATCCTGGGTGTGCTTGTTTATCCTGTAATACTTGTGGTTCTATTACATATCCTGGTGTGCTTGTTTATCCTGTAATACTTGTGGATCTATTACATATCTTGGGTGTGCTTGTTTATCCTGTAATACTTGTGGTTCTATTACATATCCTGGTGTGCTTGTTTATCCTGTAATACTTGTGGTTCTATTACATATCCTGGTGTGCTTGTTTATCCTGTAATACTTGTGGTTCTATTACATATCCTGGGTGTGCTTGTTTATCCTGTAATACTTGTGGTTCTATTACATATCCTGGGTGTGCTTGTTTATCCTGTAATACTTGTGGTTCTATTACATATCCTGGGTGTGCTTGTTTATCCTGTAATATTGTGGATCTATTACATATCCTGGGTGTGCTTGTTTATCCTGTAATACTTGTGGTTCTATTACATATCCTGGGTGTGCTTGTCTTAAGTACTTCTAGTAATTATTCTCCCTATCACAGGTCCTTCTGCATATCTCACACTTATACCACATCTTTGTTGGCCCATGGGCCATATTGACATGTCTTCTAAAATTCCATGACACAACTTCAACAAAAAGAAAAAGTTGCTTTTTCCATTTTTTAAATGATGGATAAAAACTTACCTTCAGGGTTGCGATTTCCAACTTATGAGCATCAAGTGTTCGGTTTTTCTCTGAGTTAAGCAGGGCCCTGTCCATATTCTTGTGAGCAGATTCAAGCTGTTTTTCCAAGGACAAAACCTAAAGCAGAACAAACTTTGAAAGTAATCAAAACTTCATACATAACATGACTGACATATATATTAGAAAAAAAGACCTGCTGAGGAAAAAAAACACACAAACTAGCCAGGGTAAGAAATCATATAAACACCTTGGGTAGCCTTCATATAAACACCTAGGGTAACCATTATATAAATACCTTTGGTAACTAACATATAAACACCTAGGGTAACCATCATATAAACACCTAGGGTAACCAACATATAAACACCTAGAGTAACCATCATATAAACACCTAGGGTAACCAACATATAACCCCTAGGGTAACCAACATATAAACACCTTACTAAAACATCTAGGGTAACCAACATATAAACACCTAGAGTAACCATCATATAAACACCTAGGGTAACCAACATATAACCCCCTAGGGTAACCAACATATAAACACCTATGGTAACCAACATATAAACACCTAGGGTAAAAAACATAAACGCCTAGGGTAACCAACATATAAACATCAAGTGTAACCAAGATATAAACACCTAGGGTAACCAACATATAAACACCTAGAGTAACCATCATATAAACACCTAGGGTAACCAACATATAAACACCTAGGGTAACCAACATATAAACACCTAGGGTAACCAACATATAAACACCTAGAGTAACCATCATATAAACACCTAGGTTAACCAACATATAACCCCTAGGGTAACCAACATATAAACACCTTACTAAAACATCTAGGGTAACCAACATATAAACACCTAGGGTAACCAACATATAACCCCCTACGGTAACCAACATATAAACACCTATGGTAACCATCATATAAACACCTAGGGTAAAAAACATAAACGCCTAGGGTAACCAACATATAAACATCAAGTGTAACCAAGATATAAACACCTAGGGTAACCAACATATAAACACCTAGAGTAACCATCATATAAACACCTAGGGTAACCAACATATAAATACCTAGGGTAACCAACACTTAGAGTAACCAACATATAAACACCTAGAGTAACCATCATATAAACACCTAGGGTAACCAACACATAACCCCTAGGGTAACCAACATATAAACACCTTACTAAAACATCTAGGGTAACCAACATATAAACACCTAGAGTAACCATCATATAAACACCTAGGGTAACCAACATATAACCCCCTAGGGTAACCAACATATAAACACCTATGGTAACCAACATATAAACACCTAGGGTAAAAAACATAAATGTCTAGGGTAACCAACATATAAACACCTAGAGTAACCATCATATAAACACCTAGGGTAACCAACATATAAACACCTAGGGTAACAAAAATATAAATGCCTAGGGTAACCATCATATAAACACCTAAATAAGAATTTCCTGACTAATAGTTTTCTTTTTCTGAATATCTTCTCATAGTTATTTTTTACCTAATCACATAGAACACAAAATATACTGAACCTCATTCTTCATAGTTTGGTTTTCCTTGGTAAGTGTCAGGATTTTTGTCTGTAATAGATCCACTTCTTGACTGGCCTGGGACTTATTCCTCCTCTCCACCTCGGAGAGTTCCTGATTCAGGCTTCCATGGAGAATTTCTATTTGTTCCTTTGATTCTGATAACTGTTCTTCTAAGTGGCTGATTTTTGCTGTGACAAAAAATTACATTTAATCTTTACAGATGGCATTACCAACAAATCTACAGTGTAAATCAATGATACTGTATTTAGTCAATCTCCTGAATCAATTATATAGTAACGGTGAAAATAAGCTAAAATTCCATCAAATTACTTATAATCCATTTTTCAGCTATCTAAAATCATCAACTGGCAGTTATAAAATGTAAGAAAAAAAAATCTGATGAAATATGCAACCTCCATTAATATACAGAAAGTGTAAACTGAATTGAATCATCTCTGTACCTAGGACAAAATCCCTAATAACAGTGATAACACCTTTAAAGACCTGTTGAGAACTTGTTATATGACACAATGTATATATCCACACATACTTGAAGCCCTGTTGTATTTGTCTTTAAGAAGTTTATTTTCTGTCTGTAGAGTGGAGATTTCCATTTGAAGCTTTCTGTTTTGGCTTTCCATCATCTCCTGTTCACAAAAAAAGAGTAAGCATTGAATGTCTGAGAAATCCCAACAGTCCAAACTAACATTTGGTAAATAATCAGGCTACATTACACACCAGTCTGTCAGGTATAGCATACCATTATATTATTTTTGAAACTTTTTATGGACATTTGATTGGTCTTACAGATAGGATGACATCATATTTAAGCCTGAGTGAACACCGTAATACTGTTTTCCTGATCTACGATATACCAATGCTTCTCACTCATAAAAAATACAGATATTCTGTCATACTTTTGAAATATATATGCTATCAAATATGAAACTATTAGCATATCCCTGTATATAAATGTTTTGTATTGTATGTTGATCTGAATTACGTGTCATAATTGTACCGTGTTTTGTATATATAACCTGGACTATGACAGCCAGAGTAGTATTACCTTCTCCATCATCATACCCCTCCCATCAGGTGTAGCACTTCTCATGTTTGGGAGGTTCCTTTTCTTCTGCATCCCTTCATAGCGTCCCTACACAACATATAGACACAATAATTATCTAAAAAGGTTTGAGGAGGTAGTGTGCCCATGATGAAACCTTGGACTGTGAAAAATGTTTAGTGTTAATATTCATATACATACACATTGCCGTACTGTACAGCATCTAGATTAAGATTTAGATAATAAATGTTTATACTCTTGTTTGTGTTTTCTTTGGATATGCTGGTAAATATGAAAATTGATGAATTTGTCATTCATCTTCATTCATAAATGTTAGTGAAAGTATGAAATGATAGCAATTGCATTTCATAATTATTACTACGCCTTGCTGTATCACAAAACACAAAATACAAATTTGAAACAAAAGAGAATTTCCTATAAATTTCTAACATACACATTACAACATACTTCTAAAACAAATTGATAATCTGTTTCATAATGAACAATGAAAATTTTGACGACAACACTTGGATCCAATCAGATCATTAAAAACAAAGTTTTTGTGTCAGCTTGTGGTGATACATGCATGCAGTAATTTACCTGAAATCAACTTTACATATTTGCTTAAACCTCGTTATTTTGTGTACAACAAGTGATAACAAAAATTACTGTGTAATTAGGTGATATTTAATGTGTAGTGGATAAACATTTTACGATACACTTTATCTTCTCAGGATATGAAACGAAATACACAACAAAGTTAAGAGAAATAACACTAACAACAACAAATGTTTAGTTATGGTCAGTTAGTAAACACATTTGTTAACATTTCATATGACTGTACTGAAGTCTATACATCAATGGAGTCGAGGCCTCTTGGTAAAATCTGACTGACGCTTACAACTTTGAAAATGTGTCATGGTTTTATTTAAGCAAAAAGACATCTTTTCACTACCCTAGCATTTTGAAACTTTTGATCTTGTAACTTTAAAGGTGAAGGTTGTCCCATCAGGTGTTTCACTTTTTCAGATGAAGCAGCTGTAAAATATGGGACATTACATGAAGTGAATTGCTACAATATGGCATATTTATCATTGCTGTTGTCATTCAATGAGTCTTCTGAGCTAATAACAACATTAGCATCGGCTAAAATAAAGATGGACCATGCAGCATCACATTGGCCGACAATAGTCGGTGATGATACAAATTTGTATCTGAAATTATAAACATGCTGCATATGAACCAAGTGACAACATAGGATTACAGATTTTCCACGTAGATACGTCTATGGCACCTAGTGTGTTGGTAGAAGTTTATGAGGAAAGGGTCAGTGATGCATGCATTTCACAGCTGAGTGAGGGACATGTACTTGTACACAATTTCCACAGTAGGAGATACAGCAGACTACCTACCATCTCCCGCACCCTGCCAGGTTTTGGACGGGGCAGGCGGGATGCATTTTTTGTTCGGGCATGTTGGACCCTCCCTTTCGGGGGCAAAGTCTGTAAGAAGTTCTATTTAATCAGTAAATTTTCCAGGTAAGTTCATACACAACATATTTATTGTTCAATGATGTATTTAATTAGTTGATTTAAATAAATTAGGTAAAAGCATGCATAGTATTGTTAATGAGTTAAAAATATTCTGAAGTATAAACATGCTAATATTCATTTCTAATAATATTTCTGATCAATTATAAGGTTTCAAGCTAAAGTTCAAACTTTAGAACTTGAGCTGTCATGGTACATTCTTACTGAATGTAGTACTACAAGAAAATACTGTGTAACATCAATTCTAGACTTCATTTCTTATTTTCATTTCCATTTGCCTTCAATGAGATATGTTTTGTGTTCTGTTACTTACTGCTAAAATGTTGTAAGGATTATCAGTGGTATGTATTTTACAAATATGTCATAACTTGTGGGTTTGTTGTGGGTTTTATGTCCAGGGTATGACTGCTGTGTTAAAAGTTTTTTTGTTGGAGGATTAAGTAATAGTTAACTCCCCTTCCTCCCCTAGCAGATCTATCTCAAAAATTAATGAAGAATTCACAATGGCAAATGCTGAATCAAATAATTCTCATCATAGATATGAAATTGAAAAAAAGTAGTTGCTTTGCTTTGAACAGGTCTGTAAAACATGAACAGGCATTAGAACAAACTCTGGTTCATGCAAACTGAACAAAAGGAACAGAAGGAACAAGACAATGATCATGCTTGATTTACCTTCACATGCTTAGCCGAAGATGGACATGCTGTGCTAGCTACAGATGAGGTGGAGTCAGTGCAGAAGTCAAACAAAGAGGATGAAGGGGCTTTGTTGGTGAAGTACAAAGAAAGCAGGGAGGCAATGCTTGACTTCCTGTGTGGTCTCTTGTCTGGTTTGTAGAATGACCACCTATCATTCACAGACCTGGCGTTGCGATCAGAACCAGGAGAGGACATGTTTTTTCTCTCAGTATCTGTGGATGACACTGCCTGATACTCCTCCTCAGATGATGAAGAATCAGAAAAAGGTGTGAAGCTGGAATTGATGGAAGATTTCCTAAACAAGGGTGAAAAACTTGCTTCATCACTGGATGTCATTGGATATGCAGTGCTGATAGACGTGTTTTTTCCAATCAAATTGCCATGCCAATTCCACATGTGTTCACTGTCTGTATCATAGAGACAGGAATGTTGTGTGAAGGATTCTCCAGAGGTGTCACAGGAGTCAGGTTCACCATCTTGTCTTGTTTTAATTAACTCAACATTCTGTCTAGGTCCTTGGATTGTACTTGGTTCTATCATTTCCTCACTGCTTTCCTCGGAGGGGTAAGACTGAGAAGGATACTTATCTTCCATTCCTCCTGTTGATATATCAGATGTTGTGTCCTGTCTGCCTATGAAGTGAGGCTCACTTTTCATCCTCATTTTTCTAGCCATCTTGGAGACAAAATCTGACAACTCAATGTAGTAAGTAGTGATATCACTTAATGTCCTCCAGTTGTAAAAATTCTCCTGCTGTTGCTGTGTTTTCTTTGTCTGACAAGTTTCCTGACTCACTCCACTAGATGTGCTATGAGATCTTGTAGACGAGGGGTCAGAGTTCATTTGATCAATGTTGATATTACTTGTGTTAGGTAGTGTCCAGTTGCCACTATCTGACAGTGTTCTGTCTGCATTGCTTGTGGTAACATTTGTCTCTTGTTTACCAGAAGTAAAGCTACCATTAACCATAAACTGTTCTGCAGATTTTTTTCCATTTGATCTTTGCTTAGGACTCTTTAAGAGCCCTGAAGGCGTTGTACCACCTACATATCTATCATAACCTGGAGTCTTTGGATTCTCCGATGTCATTTCTCTATCCTTCCTCTTCTGAAACAACCTTGATGGCGTTGTGTCCATCCTGTTTTCATCATCATTGCCACTCTGTACAGATTCTGAACTTCCGTTCCGTAATTTGATGCTATTTTTTAATGTTTCAGGCATACTTCCTTGCCTTGAAATCTTGAATTTCTTTACACGTTCAGGAGACTTTTTCTGGACATCTTTCACTTGCTGAATGTACAATCCAGATGAGTTCTCACGCTTCAGTTCTTTATCTATTTTTTGCTGACTAGTTGTACCATCTCTTACCATACATTCACTTTTCAGTTCTGAATGTGGAATGTGGTCCAGGTCTGCTGCACACAAAAGTTTCAGAGAAAGAGGACCATTCACCCTCTCTCTCTGTCCTTGGGACTTTGAGTTCAATCTCTCGGTGTCTACTCTTTTCCAAAACAATTCTGCCGATGTTTGATACAGAACGTCTTCCTCTTCCTTGTTTTGTGATTGTTGAATAAGTCCAGAAGGTGTAGTATGGTCGAACATTCCATAGCCAGGCGACCTCACATTTCTCTCTGTAATTTCACGGTCGTTCCTCCTCTGGAACAACTGAGAAGAAGTTGGATACATCTGTTCAATTCTTTCCTTTTTATTCTTTTCCATTTGTAAAACAGAAGGTGCTGTTTGCTGAAATTCATCATACCTTGGAGATGACTTAAGAACACGTCTTGATCTTTCTCTATCTACTCCTTCCTGTAACAGCTCTGATGATGTAGTATCATCGTTGTCTTTGATTTTCCTCTGCAGTGTTGTAATGGATGAATCTAAATGGTCATCTTTTGGTTTTGTGCTTCTCTTTTGCTTGAAGTTTAACCATTTTTGGAACAACCTTGATGGTGTTGTGTGATCTAATGCAGTGTATCCTGGAGATTTGGTTTGATCAGATGTTGTCTTTCTGTCCTGACACCTTGCCAGCAGCTTGGAAGGTGTTGTGTAGTCTACACCCCCTACTGCCCCATACAAACTATCCACTTTTTCTTCCCTTGAACTTTTCAAGTCTTTATTTACTAATTCCAAGTCCATTCTCTTTTTAAACAACTCTGATGAAGTAGGGAACTTGAGATCTGTAGCATCTTTTAAGCTTCCTTTCCTCTTTCTGTTCATCACCAAATCTGAGGGGATGGTTTGATCCAGACCACCATATCCAGGAGACAGACTATTTGTCTGTGTAATTTCTCTGTCATTTAGTGTCTGATGCAGTGCTGAGGATGAAGGATATTCTGCCTGGGAGCCAGCTTTTCTTTTTTTTTTCAATGTTGCCCTATGTTGGGAATCACACTCTACTTCCATGGCAGGGGACAGTCTGGTATCAGTTGTTTTGGTACTGAAAGCGACTGCAGGTTGTATTGCTTTGCTTTTCCCATTTGCATCAGAACCAACTTCTTTCAAAGATGTGAATAGCTGGGATGATGTTTGATCTTGATTCACATATTCAGATGTCTTGGACTGACGACTAGTCACACTTTGTCCTGGACTTTCATTGCAAATCTGTGATGGAGTGCTATAATCGCAATTCATCAAATTGTGTTGTAGCTGCGAGTCTGTGTCACGCAGATGTTCCAAAAGAGCTGAAGGGTCATTGAAGTCAACATCGCCATAACTTTTAAATTGACCATTCAATGATGACGAGGAGGAAGAACCAGTATCTCCTAGTGACTGCTCTTTTCCCAAATCATCACAAGTTGTTTCTTCAGCAGATGTCTGATGCAGATTGCTACCTGGTGAATCATCTCTGGGAAATGCAGCTAGTCCTTCAGTAACATTATCTTTGATATCGTGAGAACTTGGTGGCTTACTCTCTTGGGCCAGCTTTGAATACTTGTCTTTATACAGCATGGCTTCTGCTTGTTTTTTCTGTTTTATTTTGATAATGTCCGCTGGTCTTTTCTCTTTGACAACACTATCCTTCCTCACACATGAAACTAGAGCTGGCTGAGCAACAGATGTCGCATCAAAACATGATTTGTCCTGGTTTCCATTTACAGCCTTTTCCCTGGTTGTATCATTGAGAACAGTTGCTGTTGATAAAGAGTTAGAATCACGTGCAGAAAAGATGTTGACTGTCACCTTATCACTGAATTTGACACTAGAATCATGATTCAATAAGGCCTGAGGAGAGACATCTTCCATTGTAAGACCTGCACCATCACGTATATGTTCTATTCCACTCAAAGATAACCTTCGTTGAATTGTCCCATGATTTGGTCGATGTTTACGAGAGAGTTCATCAGAAACATCACTTTTTCTTCTGGTGAAAAGGGAAGATTTCACTTTTGATGCATCTGCATCTAGGATTTCTGAAATCTCACTTTCTCTAATGCTGACTCCAGCAGCAAATCCTCCAGCTAAGTTATCCTGATCATCAGTACCCGTATCTGGTGGATTGGAAGCTGTTTTGAAGTTGTTTGTCAAAGTGGGTGTGGCATTTGATACATCTTTATCTTGGGTACCTTTGTAGTCAGTTCCAACTTTATGCTGATTTTCACTTTGTGTGATCCTGGTGCACTTTGGTCTGTTGCTGCGAACATTTCTCTGCGAGAAATCAGAAAGAGACACATTGCTGATGCCTGTAGCATAATCAACAGCTGGAATACCATATTTGGAGTAACTGTCTTCCATGTTTGGTTCACTCTCACAGCCAATTTCATCACGATTTTCTGAAGTGATGTCTTGTCCCAGCTCACTTGCTAAGTCTTGACTCAATCTGCGCTGAATTTTAGCATGTAGTGGCCGATGCTTATGTGTCGGCTTGGATCCTTTAAAGTCAGAAAGAGAGACATCACTTATTCTTCTTGAATAGTGTTTGTTGTCAGCAAAGTGGAGTTCTTCAGCATCCAGGGTCCTATCCAAACTATTACTAGCTCCATCAGCAGCTCCGCTTCCAGTCATGTGATCCTCAGCATCTTCCCAAGCTTCAGACTGGTTGACTGTGTCATTAGTTATAGTTGATGTAACCTTGGTTTGGGTATTGGTGTCTGCTCCAGTCATATTCTCAGATGAATCAATTCCATCTTTAGTATAATTTGCCTCCAGCTCCTCTTGACAATCATTAAAGCAGTCTGCTAGACTATTATTTGGGGTAGAAGTTGATATAGGTTGATCATTCATCAGTTCTTCAATAGAATCGAAATCCCCCACACTATAAAACTTTCCCAGCTTCCTTTCAGCCATATCTTCATCTTCATGCAAGGCAGAAGCAATTGATATGTGCTCCACTAACCTATCTGTTTCAAACTGCAGTGCTGTATCATTTGCCTGACCGTCATTATCTTTCAGGTTTTCCTCCTTACTTGGGTCATTTGTCACAGCTGGATTCAATTCTGGATCAGTGCCAATGTCAGAGGTACTTGGTACTTTCTTTTGTAGACTCCAGAGAGATGTTATTTTCTCTGCCCCTTCCTTATTCTTGACTTCCATGAGGATCTCTCCATCTGGAGTACAGTCTTGTTTCTCTGTTTGTGACATCATTATCTGACTGTCATCCTTTACCTAAAGGTTAGTACAAGGAATCAAGACAAACATGCAGTGCTAATAAAACCAATCTATTGGTATGTGATAGATGAAAGATCAAATAGTAAGAATTATGGGTGAATAGGGCATGCATGTTCAATGGCTTGACTTCTTTGCTTATACAGGAAAAAATTAAATAAACTTAATGCCTGGATATCAACACAACCAAAAAGAAATAGACTATTATTGTGTTTATGATAATGAGCTTTAGCAGGGAATTTGTAAAAGAAAAATAAAATTAGCTCATCAATTTAATAGACTGTACACTAAGCATTCATCATAGCTGATATTGTGCCAGTGACAGATGGTGGAATGATTTGAAAGTTTATGTGAGTACACTAATTTCATATCCATAAAGAGCTAAACAGATGTAACCTACAGTATACATTATACATACAGATCCTATTTAATAATCTAATGATTGCGACCTTAAACCCAATCAAAAATAAAAATAAAAAAACAGCTGATGGTTTCCATCTTCAGAAGTAATGTGTGTCTATGCTATCTGACTGACCAATCCCAGAAAACATAACTAGATTAGGATGAGAGATGGAGCCAACATTTCAGTAGTTTATACCAAGTATAAACTGATCCTTGACCTCCAGCTTAACTGGACACACAAAGCAGGCATCAGGATTGAAGAGACAGTGAGTAAAACACAAGATGATTCGGAACCAGTTATTTACACTTCTTCAGATGTTCATTTGTATGTCTATCAGTTAATCATCATGATAAAGTGTCAGACTTCTTCAGGACGACACTGTAGTGATTCCTCTAACATACTAAAAACTGGGAGTTTATTTACTTCATCTCAATCTGACGTTCAACAAGAGGAGTCGATGAAAGATCCTTCATGTTTACAGCTAGAAGTTATAACCATTAGGATGTTGATTACTAACACATTCATCACAAAATCACACATCAATTAAATTCCTATGAAGCCTATGGACACTTATACTTTCTATGATAATCAATGCATGCAGAGATGTAGAAATCCAGTAAAATTGAAAAAAGAGGGGTCGTTTTTGTCAGTGAAAAATTACTTGTAAACATGAATTTGTATCATACTGATCGCTGACAGCCTCTGTAACAAAAATTCAGTTTCCCATTCTAGTGAAAAGTATCTTCACAGCATACAGATTATCATAAAGAAAGTTAGAATTATTCACAGCAAACAGGTAGAATGTTTATACTACATAAGGCCATTAAAATAAAAGTATATATAGGTAGCCGACTTCTGAAAATAAGGACATCTCTACCTTATATACACCAGAGGATGTGATATCTGGGGCTGATCCGTATGGAACACCATGTTTCTCTGGATTCTGAAGGGAGCTGATCCGAGATGTAGATGCAGCACCTTGACCAGTGTCACCTGATTAAGTTAATAGAACACATTATGTAAAAACAATGTATCTTATTCCATAGTCAGCATGAAACTTATGTAAATCAAATATTCATCTTATATGTTAATGACCAAACTTCCTTTCATAACAAAAAAGTGAAGATTTTCACCTGTATCTGTCTTTTTACATTTCTTTTATTTTCTTTTCTAGCAGGCGTAATATTATTTCTTGTGACTATGATTCAGATTTAGAAGTGTCTGAGATTCAGAATAAATACTTAGATGATAAGGATTGCCGGAGTTTCTAATTTCTGACAATTCTCTTCCTTCCTAGATTGAGCTGTAACTGCAGTGATCACTCTTACCTGGTACGTGTTTTTGTTGACGTTCAGCACTCATTGTCAACTTGTATTTCTTTTTACATGCATTCCCTATGTAAGAAAAAAAACTCGGATAAATAGCACGTAATCCATTTTTATCATGACAAGTACTATGTACAGGTGGTGAACACAGACTTGTTAATCACCAATATTACTGGAGTGAACAGCCAGGACTGACATGAGGAATCAAACACAAAATTTTGTTGCTTCCTTAAAGATAGACAGAGTTGTCAGCAAGGAAGGAGTAAACAAAAGAATTTTAATTTCTGTTTTTGACTTGTACTTGTATGTACAAGTGCAGTAATTAAGTACAGTATTTTTTTTGTGTGTCTATCATTTTATCGAATTCTACATCAACAGTTACAGCCATGTCAACTCATCAGGCCTAACATTAAACATATCACACACATATAATACAGCCTTTTAATGTAATATATTCTTCTTCTCAAAGACAATGTCTAACAGATTTTTTTTTTTCATTCTTGTTTACTTACTTATCGTAATTCCTTATCCTACATATTTTATGTCACACAAGTCCTAAAAATACATTGACTGCTCATATTGTAAAACTTTTCAGAATCTTAATACTCAGTATCTTTAGGAAATATCTACACATAAAATTATCCTTAAGTATCTATGACACAATATCCTTGATGTCTCCTTCTGTGCAAGTTGGATCTTTTCCCTTCTTTTTTACTTTTTTTGTGTGGACATTTATTAAATCAAATTAATGAATAGATTTCTCAAGAAATAATAAGCTATATTTGCTTTAATTCAAGGTAACAACCTCTCTGCCAATTTTTATCCTTACAAATTTTATTTTATAACAAAAAGTTAAGGAAAATGAGTATCAGTGAAACTGATGAATGCTCTCTGAAAACTATTGGACACAAAACTCTAACAAAGGGCAATAATTCTGGAATTAAGGGGTTGCAGGCCCTGAATTTGGTACACTGCACATTTTCTCAGTATGACAAAGGTTTACACCAAGTTTCGTGATTCTAGTTTCAATGCAAGCAAAGCATACTCACAACACAAAAATTCAACAAAGGGCAATAACTCTGTAACTGAGAGGTCATGGCCTTGACATTGCTACATTCTACATTGCACCTTGTTTTTGTATGACTGCATGATGTTTATTTAAAGTTTCAATAATCTAATTCATTTAAATGCAAACAAAGTAATGCCCTAGACACAAAATTTAAACAAAGGGGAATAACTCTGTTATTAAGGGATAGCAGGCCCTAATATTAGTGTACTGCACATTGTCTTCATATGATCAATGTATCCAACAAGTTTCATTATCCTAGCTTAATGCAAGCAAAGTTATGCTCTGGACAAGATATTCTTAACAAAGGACAGTAACTCTGTAATTAAGGGGTCGAGGGCCCTGAATTTAGTACACAGTAGTAGATGTTAGTATTATCAAAGTATACATTAAATTCATGATCCTTGCTTAAGTGTGATTAAAGTTATGCTCCTGACAATAAATTTTCAGCAAAGGACAATAACTCTATAACTAAGGGCTCGAGGGCCTTAAATTTGGTACAATGCTTATTGTCTTAGTATGATAAATGTATCATCAAGTGTCATTATCCTTGTTTAAATGCAAGCAATTTTATGTTGTGCTCTAAGCACAAAATTTAACAAAGGACAATAACTCTCTAATTAAGGGACTGTGGGTCCTGAATTTGGTACACTGTAGATCATCTTCGCATGATCAATGTATACAACAAGCTACATTATCCTATCATAAATGCAAGCAAAGTTGAGCTCCGGACACAAAATTTAAAGAAAGAACAGTAACTCTGTAATATAGGGGTCACGGGCCCCAAATTTGGTACAATATATAAGTTTTGTGATCCTTGCTTAATTTTGGGTTTAGTTATGCTCTGGACATGAAAGGATGGACGGACGGACATGGCAGCAACTATATACAATGTAAAATGTTAAAATCTATATATGTGATCATGTACACTGTACCTTGAACAAGTTCTTCCTCCTTTTCTGAAATGGTATAAAGTCCGGTTACCCCTTGGGTCAGACTGTACCCACTTAACCGAGGCGCTGAGGTCGACAGCCCTGGGCTGCTGCCATATTGGTGGGTTTGGCTATATGGACTACTGCAAGACGAAACAACTTTTTTTTAAATAAAAGAAAAAACAAAGTAAATTTTCATTTGACAAAATCAAGAAATGGAACAAATGAAAAGTCAGCCGTGAATAACCTAGCATTGAGAAAAATGTCTCACACTACAGGTATCTGAGACCCTTGCTGACGAAGAAATACATGAATATTTCATTACTAACAACAAAAAGATATACAAGCAATATTATCAGTCTGTATTGATCCAGGGGTTTAGGTAAGATCAGGTAATATTAGGTCAATATTGAGACAATAACAGAACTGTTAATCAATAAAGCAGTATCTAGATCCCAAAATTTATCCTCAACCCCAGACACACCAGCTGTGCCATACACACCAGCTGTACCATACACACCAGCTGTACCATACACACCAGATGTACCATACACACCAGCTGTACCATACACACCAGATATACCATACACACCACCTGTATCATACACACCAGCTGTATCATACACACCAGCGGTACCATACACACCAGCTGTATCATACACACCAGCTGTATCATACACACCAGCTCTACCATACACACCAGCTGTACCATACACACCAGCTGTATGAAACACACCAGCTGCAGCTGTATCATACACACCAGCGGTACCATACACACCAGCGGTACCATACACACCAGCTGTATCATACACACCAGCTGTATCATACACACCAGCTCTACCATACACACCAGCTGTACCATACACACCAGCTGTATGAAACACACCAGCTGCAGCTGTATCATACACACCAGCGGTACCATACACACCAGCTGTATCATACACACCAGCTGTACCATACACACCAGCTGTATCAAACACACCAGCTGCAGCTGTATCATACACACCAGCGGTACCATACACACCAGCTGTATCATACACACCAGCTGTACCATACACAAGTAAATAAAGACTCTGTGGAGATCTGAAGAGAAGTGAAAGTGACTTTGACATAATGTACATGTACATTATCAATAAAGTTTTGGAAGTCACTAAAATTAATCAATAGTTTTCCACAGTTTACAAATACCTTGTAACACTTACAAAAGTCATTAATGTAATCTTTATTATAGAAGACTAGTTTCTGATCATGAATGTTAACCGATCAAGTAAGGAAAAAAAATCAATAATTATATAAATACACAGTTACAACTAACACAAGAATCAAACTTACTGGTAGTACTTGTACACTGATGGAATCCGAGATTTCCTTGATAAAGATCTCTGTCTATAAAAGGTATGTAGAGGAAAGCTTAAATTTACCACATCTGGATGAATGTACTGATGTTTCCTACAAACACTTGGCCAAGATTGTACGCGTTTTCTACTTTCACTATACCTCAATCTGTGCAGACAGTAATCTGTTATATTGTGCCAGCTCTTGTACATCATAATGTACTACATACAGTGCATATCAGTACATGAACATGAAAAATGTATGCCACAGTTGAAATTCAGTTTAAACTCAAGTATGTGATTGGGTAATCATGCCTTAGTTAATTCAATCAGAAACCAGCACTTGTTCAAGTCCTAATCCTTTTAGTGAGAGAAAAAAACTATGTCCTGAAAGGCTGCTATAAAACTATGTGTAACTGGCAAACGAGAAATGAGCTGAGATTTACCGGACTTTAACAGGAGATCTTCAAATACTACACAACAATAAAATGATGTTGACATTCTTCTTCAGTGACAATCAGATCATCAAAGTGTAAACACTGAGTCGGTATAAGATCGGTCTATAGTGATGGTCATAAAACCAACGTCTATGTAAAAACTGACATTTGTTTTTGATAAAGTTGTCAACAAATGATCTAAAATGAAGCAAATCCATTGATAAAGGGGACTTACTTATGTGGGAAACCTATGTAAGAAAGTAGGATGGAATTCATTTGGGATCTTCCTCAAAGAGGAGATCAACTTTAAGCGGGAACTTATGTAGGAACCTCCTTCGTAGGGGAATTATTTTGAAACCTCCCCTAAGAAGAGAACCTTTAAAAGAAGACTTATGTGGGAACCTCCTTTAAAAGGGGACTTGTGTGGGAACCACCTTAGCAGGGAAATTATGTGGGAGCTTCCCCTAAGAAGGGACTTCAGTTGGAACCTCATTTAAAAAAGAAATTAAGTGGGAATCTCCTTTAACAAGGGACTTGTGTGGGAAGTTCAACTAAATCTGCTGCATCCATTGCAACCAAATTAATAATGAAGTGATATTTACATGTCCTCCCTATGTAGATCTGCATATCATGGTTCCTACCCCCATCCCCATTCCCACCCCCATCCCCATCCCAACCCCCACCCCCATCCCAACCCCCATCCCCATCCCCACCCCCATCCTCACCCACATCCCCATCCCACACCCCCATCCCCCATCCCAACCCCCACCCCCATCCCACACCCCCATCCCCCATCCCAACCCCCACCCCCATCCCCACCCCCAGTAATTTCTTCCTTTGATCAGTCTATACTGACAGTTATTACAAGCAGTTTTTGAATTCAACCAATTGCAAGGTGCAAGATAATTACAAATGATAGTGGTACTTTCCATGTAACTCACATGATAAGGGAGGATATACAAAGTAGATGTAAATTCCACACATAATTCCTGTGGCTCATTTCTTCCACCATGTGTGTGACATTCTGTTTCACCGATAATTTTCCTCATATGTTGAATAAAAAACACTTTAATAGACCTACACAAGATCACAGACAACTACAATTTCCACAGCAATCCATGTATAGGAACCTACCTTGTCCTGTGTAAGGAATTATACATGTTGTCTAAATCAATGATATAATCCTCTCACTTTTAACAGCTCATACTTCTTCATTCAAAGGTGTATCACATAGTCATAAAACACTTATATCAATGTGATAAGTTTGA